GTGTTGCCTGTTTTATCACCAGCTCTGCTTTCTGAATGGTCGCTGTGCTTATTTTGTATACATTTCAGCTTTAATGTCCAAGGCACAGCGAATAACTCGTTTGCTAGCTCCCTTCCACAGGACCATTTGCCCGCCACAAAAGTTCATCTAAGGCAGGAGTAGCCAATGGGCTGCCCTCCAGATGTTGTTGGACTGCAAGTCCCATCATCCTTCACCATTGCCCATGCTATCTGGGGCTGGTGGGAGTTAGAGTCTAATAATGTTTGGAGAGCACCATGTTGGCTGCCCCCAATCTAATCCTGCCCTCGTGGTCCACTTTCTGTTTAAATAGTCAAATTACCAATCTGAGCCTTGGAAAGCACAAATTGCTGAAAGAGGCCAAAGCTAAGGAACATTGCTCCCCCAACCTCCTCCTCCTGGTCTGTATTTTTCAAGCGTAGGGGGGAAATAACCACCCTCACCACCTCATGATAAAAGGGGGCTCAAGTGCTTTGCCCTCAAAAGCCCCCCAAGGGCACCCTTGCACCCAACCACATTGGCGGTCCAAGGATTAAAGGAATTGTTGTGCATTGACAGTGGAACCACTGAGTGATATAAGGTGATGTGATTTTCCTACTTGCATTTCAGTGCGGTGTTTACCTGGACAAACTTGTTGGTCGTTGTTGTTGAGCTGGATGGATCCGAGCAAGAAGCCTTAGACCTGGTTCCTTTGGTCACCAATGTGGTGCTGGAGGAGCATTACCTGATTGTAGGGGTGGTGGTTGTGGTGGACGTTGGTGTAATTCCTATCAACTCCCGTGGAGAGAAACAGCGTATGCACCTACGAGACGGATTTTTGGCGGACCAACTAGATCCTATCTATGTGGCCTACAACATGTAGTCTGGTATCTATTAAGGCTTCCATGGACTGTACTCTAGATGTATAAACAAATTTTTTTGGACGTCCACTAAACGATGTGCTGACAAGAAAACGACGCCACTCTTCAGAACGGAACTGTTTCTATTAGGACTTTTTGACGCGCTCGTTATTGGCAGGACATAAAATGTGAAACGTGTTTCTTTTACCACTACATTTTAGCACAGAAGGACTTTGGGGTACTGCCTTCAGTTTGTTGGAAAGCCCATTATTAGACTTTTTAAAAAAGATTATTTTTTGCTTATTGGGATGATACTGCTTTCTGAGTAATATGGCTTTGTATTTTATGTTATACTGAAGTAGCTAATTTTTCTCTCTTTTTTTAAAATCTGCCCTTCAAGTGGATATTTTTAAACAGCTCATATTATGACTGAATTGTTTTGGTTTGCTTGTTTTTAAATGTCCATAAAAATCTTTTCCAATATGAATCCATTACTAATTTTAAGCCATTTTCTATCCCATTGTCTTAGGAAACTACATTGTGGTACGAGGAAAATACCCAAAACAGCACCTTCTCAAATTAAGAGTTTTAACAGCTTTCTCTTCTGGAAATGCTGAAAAAGGCAAAGGCAAAAAGAGCCTTTGATTATTAGTGTTAGAATGAACAGAAATTTATAAATAAGGTGTATTTCGGCAATGAGCTTGCAGATATCTTTGTACTAAACTAAAAAGATAAAATAAGTTAACTACTTCTGTAATTATGTACAAAACCTTTAATTTATTTTGATCTCTTTAGAAGTATAAAAGAGAAACATTCAAGAATATTAAGCTCTTGTAATGTTTGCTAATATAAAAAACAAAGGGGTTGTATTATCTTGAGTGGATAGTATCACATCAAATATATATATATGAAATATAAATTCACTAATGACAAAAAAAAAGATTTTAAAGTTTTAAAAGGATGCAGTACTCATCACTTGCATGGTGTCTCTTTTCCCACTGTAGATAATCTAACATTATTCACAAACTTCGAGGAAAAACCGGTCCTGGATTGCTAAGTATCCCTGTCTAAAAGAATCTCTCAGATACCAGCAAGCGAAACCATTTTGCTACCTTTAAAGGCAGCGAGTTAAACGTTGAAGGTCGCAATCCTCTGCCGCGCCTGCACAGAGGTCAGGGCATAGAGTGGCTCCCATAGCCGTGCTGGAATAAATTCCTGCACCTTGCCGTCTCTTCCAAGCCTGCTTCTCTGCAAGGCCGCTGAATTGCAACTCTGCTGCCCTTGGCCCCTAATTTGCCTCCAGCACTCTGCCGCTCACCCTTCCGTAGTCCGTGGCTCTTCTCCAGCCCCCTGTGTGCTCTAGGAGCCTGGAGAAGAGGAGGAGCAGCAGCAGTGCTGGAGAGGCAGGAAGTGGGGAAGAGCCTCGGCTTCAGCCTAGGAAGCCTTGGAAGAGTCCAGCCGGCACGGTGGTGGAGACCAAGAATGGATTCCCGCGAGAGCCATTCCGCCTCCTGCTCTCTGTGCATGCAATGCGGTAGGATTTGCTGGCGGCCAAAGACTCTTCAACAGTGCACTACGAAGGATTCTCTTATTTGCCGCGGAGGTGACAAATATTTGTGCAGGCACGTATGTCCATACACTTCTTAGACGTTAGAAAAGGCAGGTTTGAAGAATATCACTGTTTTTCTTAGCTGCATAACATTGTTGCACAATATTGGTCATTGTCCTTTTTTTAAGTTTGTGGGGGTTTTGTTAATTTTTTTTTAATTATTTTTTTTGGTAAGGACGATTTTCTTGTTGTTTTTGTTTTGTTTTTGGTGGTCGTTTTGCACAAGAATTATGCTTTTGTTCATCTGTTTGCCTTCCTTCTGCCCTCTGTCTAGGCTGGGCGAGGGGACGGTGGCGATCCATCCACTTCACACTTTGTAGAAAGCTGTTGTTTTTCGATAGTCTTTCTCTTAATAACGCGTTTGTTATTGGAGAGTAGCTTAAAAGCCGCTCTAAACTATTTGGCACTGCCTGGTGCATCTGCTAACATGTCCTTATGCCAAACTGAGGAACTGATACTGGTGTTGCAAGTAATCCCATCTCTCAGTTCCAAAGGGAATCTGCCAATTGGGGAAGAACAGGAACGCATGGATCACAGCTGCCTTTTATTTTCTTTCTAATCTCACTGTCTTCGGATAAATGGAATTGTCGATCTCTTAATTATTTAATTGTTTTCCTCCCCCCATTTGTTTGTTTGTTTGTTTTGAAGTGCATATTTTGGTTTCTTCCAGTGTAACCTGGCTGACCTGTGTCTGATTTTTGAGGGGTGAACATTAAACAGCAGCAGTCCAAGAATGCTTTTTAAATGGTTTGAAATAATGTTAACTTGCTGACAGAATATGCATGACTAAGACAGAGGCAGGACTGAAGCTACAAGACCTTTATATAACATGTACAAGGGAATTATTATTATTTTTTGTCTACCTTTGCAGATTTCATTTGGTTCTGAAGACCCCAAATTCATTTTTTCCCCATTTTTATTTTTGCAGGTGTGGGAGGGTCCTTAAAGATGAGGGATGGTTTTTAGTCTGCATGCAGAATACAGAGCATCTCACCATGGCAAAACTTTTTTTTTTTTTTTGGATGTGTGTTAATTTTCAGTTGCCCCCTTTTTTCAGATTTTCTTTGCCCTGTGAATATTTCTACCCATGCTCCGAAGACCAACCCTGAAGCATTCTGTCAAAGTGTGGGGTTTTTCTGTCCCCTAAAATAATATATATTTTTTTCTGTTTGAAATGTCAAGTTGCTGTAAGGTTCAGACAAGCCGTTGACTGATTATGAGCATAATTACAGTGTATGAACTAACTTGTGATGATGTCCTTGCTATTGCTGATCTCAGTGCTGCAAAACACAAATTTAGCTGTCATTTTATTAAAGCATCACTTTTAACCTTCACCAAGTCAACTTTCCACTCCTGGGGAAGGGGACAAAGGACTGCAGTGCAGTCGTACGACACAGTTAATAACTGATCTCTTCTGCAACCTGCCATCTGTGGTTGTCTAAATTCTCAAACTTAGGACAGTAAATGACGATGAACTGAATTCCTAGTTTTGTCGTGCAAGATAAGGGGAAAGAAACACACGTACCATCAGATTCAGCAATAAAGAAGGATTGTTCTGTATTAGAAACTGTACTGTAGATAAACCATTCATGAGAATGTATAAAATGTTTGTCTTGTGACCTTGTGCTTTTGAAGTCAGACAAAAACCATGTAATCAACCTGATGCACATGCACACTAAAATAAAAAAGAAAGAAAGAAAGAGGGTCCACAATGAACATTTAAACACGAAAACTAATCAAACAGGAGCAGATTCCTCATGGTGCTTGTTTATTATATATATTTAATCCTGCTTGACACTTTACCCAAGGGAAGACTGTCCCTTTTATCAGTTGAATGTTAGCAGCGTTATTTCATAGAGTGTGGTGACTGGTTAGAGAAATTCATGTAACTCAGCCAATCACAGTTTCAAACGAAAATTTTTATGTGCAAACAAAACAGCAACCTTCTTGTATGTTAAACCACCAGTACGCTTTGTACATCTGTGATAACGCCTGTTTTATATTCAAATGAACAAATAAAAGCTTTTATTTTTGTTGCTCTGAAAATATCAGGTTTGTTTATATATATAAAAAAAGAAAAAGAAATTAGCTAAGGTTTTTAAAGGAGATTTTCCAGAGCTTTGGGCCCCACCTAACACTCTGGTGAAAGAAAATGGTGTTTTTTAAATTTTTTGTTGACTTGGAATCTTTGCATATGTCACAGAATAGAAAACATTCAACATGGAGCCAACTTAAGCCGTATTCAGGCACTCTTATAACTGTGTTGAAGCAATTTGTCCCTCTCTTTGGCATCTCCAATTCTGACCTTCCTGCAGTGATCAAGGAGGTATAACACAAAGCCTCTTCTCAATCCAGGACTGTGTTAATGCGCAGAACAGGTGTCAACACTTATAATCTGGTTTCAGACACGTTCCCATCCAACACAGGGGTTAAATGGACATGGACATGGGATGTTGGGAATGGGGGCCAGCATGTGCCCCCCCAGCTCCCCATACCAATTGAGAGGAGAAGCAAGGAAAATTGGGGGGTGAGTTGGCTAGCACTCAGAGAGAGAGAAAATTGCTTTCTGAGAAACTTATGTTTTGACTTCTGTGAAATTGGTGTTCTGTTGAGTGTAGAAAACTCTCAGTGTGTTTTGGGGCTCAGACCTCACCTCTGACTTGTGCTTGGTTTATTGGGCCTAGTTATTTGTGCCTCAGACTGACCAATTTGCCTCCTGTGCAATGGGTGTTTTGTGACTGGCCACAGCCACAAAGGCAGCCATTTTGTGAATGGGTGTCTCCCCTCACAGCAGCCATTTTGTGATGGCGCCCACAAAACTTCCTCAAAATTCCAAATGTGCCTATCAGTTCTAAAGAGAAAGGTATCTTTGCTGAAGAAGCAACATTCCTCGGCGGAGTTATCCATTGCAAATAAAAATCAGTAGTGATGAGTGCTCGTAGTGATGTTGGGGAATAACTTGAAAATGATTGTTCTATCATATTTTGGCTGGAATGCAGTAATATTTAATATGTGTTAGTTGACTGATATGTAATGGAATTTTAAAAATTCTGATACTATTTAATTGATAACTTGCAATTGTGTCAGGCAGCATTCGCTAGAGAACATACAGTGGTAATATTTTGGCTGTCGACAGCTTATGAAAGACTGCTCAAAAAGAAACTGATGGGACTTCAGAAATTCCAAAGCATGTGGATTTTGAGGTAAGACTATACATTTTTTTAAATATAAATATATACACAGATACATCTTCATCTATAATCTCAAATTTTTGGAAGAAACGTGTGGGGCACAGATTGAGAGGATCAATAACTGCTGCAGAAATGACAGTGACAGAAATATCCAAGAAGAAAATATGGCAGCACGATAAATGGTCCCAAGGAAGTGTTAAATTCTTCTGAATTAAAAAATTTGTATAACTTTCATACTACAGCTCACCCAAGCAGATCCTCACCTGTTCTACATGAAGAAATGTCTGATGAGGGCTGCAGGGGTGACCAGTTGGAAAAAGCTTATGGGGCTCCTGCACCTTTAATAGTTGAGAACAAGAGGGAATTTCATTGGGTGCAGCTTGGCATACAGATGCAGCTTAGCTTCTTCACAAGTACTAAAGTTGCAGGACTCCCTACCTCTTTTTTTATCTCACCACCCTACGTAGGCAATAATCTGAATTTCATTATATCGTGGCCCTGGCCCAGCTTTAATTAGGCATAATTTAGTTAGCGTGATTTAATAGGTGTACAAGAATATAGATAGGGATGTGCACATTAAACGCGCATTAGATTGTGCATCCAATCCAAAGCAATGTGATTGACTGTGATGTCGTTTAGATGCACATCCAATTCAAACCACTCAGACTGGTACTGGTAAGTAAAAGCCAGGGCAGATGTTACATTAAAAAGGACCTTCCATTTATTTATTTATTTGCATTTGCAATGGTGGAATGTCTGCAGTGGGTAAATGGGGAAGAACATTATATTTCTCCCAGAAATAAGAGTACTTGATGAAGAGAGGAGGTGCTCTCAGGGCTTAGCTGGAAGCAACAGGTGTCTGGACTAGCTCTGCTAAGGGTAGGGCCGGCCTGCCCATGAGACAACTGCCTCGGGTGGCGGCATGCAACGGGGCAGGATCTGCCTCCTCCTCGGCAGCCCACCATGCTGTCCCTACAGTGGCCTGTCAGCAAATAGGAAGGGCAGCTAGTCTCCTCCCACCCTAGCGGGTAAATTGTGGGGGCTGCCCTGGGGTCGGGGGTCTCCTGGGGTCTGCACCTGACCAGTGTGATTCAGAACAGGCCCCTTCCCTTCCGCCTGCCATGGCCTTTGATTCCCATTTCACCCATCAGGTAAAGGTTGATTCGATTCCCCCTCTCCTCGTTTCTTCCATCTTCCCAGGCGGGGAGCAATTTTGTAGTTCATTTTGTGGTGCCAAAATGTCTTGGGCTGGCCCTGGCTATGGGTGTATGTTTTCCTAGCTGGACTGAGCTATATTGTGCTTTAAATATAGGACATGACATATGTATCTGGGATTTGTATATCGTACGACCTCCATTTCCCCTTTATTGCAAGGGCACCTCTATGCAACTTACTACTGAGCCAAGCGATACGCAACTCTGGTGTGGAGTCTCTCCACCAAGTTGGTACAGACCACACAACAGCTGTTGCTGCCAGCATGTGATGCTCCTACCGCAAGCCTTGTTTTTGGCAGCTTCCAGAGGCACACATAAATCAGAATTGGCCCTGAACAGAGAGAATAGTTTCATTTAAGCCAAGGACCACGTGATGGTCAGCTTAGCAAACACGAGATTGCCCTCCAGTGGCCGCAAGCATCCACTGCATCCTTCGTCCGCACCTGTAAGATCGGTGACCAGATACAATTTTGTGAATAAGGTGCAGCACGATGAACTTAAGGCTGCTATGAACTGCAATAAAGAAATACAGGAAAGAGGGACATCCCCACCCCCCACCCCAGTCATGGGAGAAGGTTTTTAGATATGCTGACAAATGCAAGGATTTTTTGCACGTGGTTATATTAGTTGTGATCTTGCAGACTGTGGGTCACCGGCTTCTTAAAATGTGGTGTTGTGAATGTTTGAACCAAGAAGTTGGGGGTTCAACGTGCTAATAAAGTGCTAAGGAACATTTTGTGAGACTAGTAATGGCAAAGCAAGCGTGTAAGCTGCAATATAGGAAAAAGGAAAAACCTTTAAAATGCCATAAATCGCAAATAATTAAAGTGAAATGCTAGAAGATGCTAGTACTGGGCATCTTCTAGCATTTCACTTTAGATCAGCTTGTGTCAAGTCTCCATGTGTTTCTTCATAATCTCATAATCCACTTCTGCGCTAATCTGCAATTTTTAAAAAGCTTCAGTACAAAAAGTAGTTAAATATGTACTGAATTGAAAAACAGATACTGAAATACATACTTTATCTCATTGTACATGCTTCTAAACATATTTTATCCAGGGGCGTGTTTAGGAAGAAGTATAGACAGCCACTGAAGAATCAGTAAGATGATATAACATAATCTCATAAATCTGTTTTCTTAAATTTGAAAGAGCTTTATTCCAAAATGCTTCTAGAAAAAAAGAAGAAAGCTAATGGTTGAAAGATGAATGTGGTTCTCCAAAAGAGTTATGGCATTTCTCCCCCCGCCCCCCAGGCTGTAGCTGCTGCCCTGTTCGGTCACCTTGGGCTCCCTAAACAATTATTGTTTGTCCTGATGATTTAAGAGGAGACCTACTGAGCAAAACCCTTTACAGCGAGCTCTTTATGTAATTTGACAACGAAGCCTCCTTTTGAAATGAGCACGGGGGATTTCGACTCGCCTTGTGACTCCTGTTCAAAGGGGCCCTTTCTTGCTCTTCTCTCGCTTGGCCATCAAAGGTTGCGAAGGGAAAAGGGGGTCTGTTGTGCCCTCAGGCACCAAAGCCAGACAAGAAGACACAGATTATGGAAGCGAGCCTTGCCCATCTTGGTGCCTGTAGCTCAGCAGGGCACACATGTTGTACGTGCTGGAGGTTTTGGTCCAATTCGCTCCTTCTCATTCACTGAGGCTTTTATCCAGACAGACTGAGACATGACAATCTCTGGAAGCTCAAAATCCCAGAGAGAGAGAGAGAGAGAGAATATCAAGGGGACTTGTGGGCAACCTGTGGCCCCCAGCCTTATTTTTTTCAGCCCCTGCCCAGCTCCCTGAAACTTCCATCCCTTCATTCCCATTAGTTTCCTCATTTTCACTGGCTTAAAGTAAAACCGCCTGCTCATATTCTTCCTCACTAGAGTGAGATGGGTTCTGTTTAAATGAGAATAGTCTTTTGCATGTATCCATATAAATTGCCGCATGCAAATATTATGCAAATTGGTACTCTATATTGTTGCTGCTGCTGCTGCTGTTGCATTTCCTCTTTCCTGGCCACCCTAGTATAGCCCAAAGTGGTACAGTCCATTTTGCCACTGCATGACTCATCCACGAATAGATGGGCTCTTGGCCCAAGAGAGACCCTGAAAAACTACAATATGGGGTTTTCTCATTACAGCGGCCACTGTAGGGAGAAAAGCATAGCTGAAAAGGACACTGATTTTCATAACACTAATATATGCATATAGATGCAACTTTAGAAATTATTACTAAGCTAAGTAGAAATACACTACGCTACACCCCGAGTGGAAGACTGCAGCCAGGTGACCTCTGTGCTGTCCAGGGGCTAAGGCAGGGGTCAGCGAACTTTTTCAGCAGGGGGCCGGTCCACTGTCCCTCAGACCTTGTGGGGGGGCCAGACTATATTAGGGGGGGGAAATGAACCAATTCCTATGCCCCACAAATAACCCAGAGATGCATTTTAAATAAAAGGGCACATTCTACTCATGTAAAAACATGCCAATTCCTGGACCATCCAAGGGCCGGATTGAGGAGGTGATTGGGCTGGATCCGGCCCCCGGGCCTTGGTTTGCCTACCCATGGGCTAAGGTTTAATGGGCACTTTCAAAGGCCCTGATCTCCCTTGCTACTTGTTCTTTTTAACTTTAAACTGGACTTGGACCAAATAGCGATTCCACTGGGCGGTTAGGGTCCTCTGCAAAGCAGGACACACGGGCGCAACCTATTTAAAAGGCAATAAACTCCCAACCAAAGACAGTAATAACTGACTGAGCCATGATACCACCTTGCCCTGCCTGAGTCTAGCAAGGGAGGACAGGACAGTAGGCATTAGATGCTGTACAAGGTTGGGGGAGAGATTTGATTCAGCTTTTATTTATGCACAACCTACCTACCCTGCACTCTCCGGAATAATACGCAAATTGGAACACAAATTATCCAAATCTTGCAATGCAGTTTTTCCAGTCAAGTAACATGCACATAAATGCGTATGTGAGAGGAAAATGAGCATAAAATGTATATATGGATAAAACAACTTACAAAAATGTGTAGCCGTCTATATAAAGGGGAAAAGATTGCTTTGCAAAAATGTAAGAGAAATCCACACCAATATGCCTCTGAACTTTCATGGAGACTTGCTTTTTTAAAAATCACATCCTAATGTGGAAAGATGTTACTTAAAGTGGGGAAATCAGAAACTGAGAGTAACCGAAATTGACAAATTCACCTATTCTTAATGCTGCCTTAACCGATCTAATCCCTTCTCCAGTCAAGTCTGTCACTCCTCCAGGGCCACCTGTGGGTTAAGTATATCCGGAAAGGCCTGCAGCACCAGAAGGAAAGTCTATATAGGCCAACAATCTGTTTTTCCATAGGCACCAGCGTTTCCTAGTTGTATCTGCACAGCAGCTGTTATTTAGAGGTACCCTGCCTTGGAGGTTTTGCTTAGCTGACAGCAGCGGCTTCTCTGATGCTCTGTGAATTAGTCTAATTTTTTTTAGCCATGTATGCTAGATTGAAGGGGGAGGGTTAGGGCCCCTGGGCACTTTTTAAGGGGCATTTCTCACCCCAAACTCACCGCAAAGAAAGAGCAGCAGAACATCTCTTCCCCACAGCCTATCAGAAGAGCTTCACTTCAGTATCTGATTACAAAGCCTTGGTCTTGCAGCAGTACCTTGGCAGGGATGAGTGGAACTAAGGAGGGGGGGAACCTTGCAGTTTGCTTCTGTTTAAAAGGGGGGGGATAGAAACTGATTTCCATGATAGTTCTGATTGAAAATTCATGTGACGATAGGCAGATGAAGCTAATGTCTGGAAAATGTGGAGCTATCGCCGTACTAAGCAACAGCTAACTGCAAGTGTGGAGTCCACACAATGGATAATGACTGGGCGACGGGATGAAATTGCCGTCTGTTGCTACAGTAAAGGGGGTTGAGCAATCCTAGAGTTGGAATCATTGTTGGGACGGAGATTCCCTGGTGGAGTAATCACCACTTCCTAAGCTCTGTTGACTTGCGTGGGCCTCTTTGCACGTGAGGTTCCAGGCTTGTTCCCATTCTGGTGGGGGAGCTAGATTTTCCAATTTTCATTTTCCTCATTCAGCCGCCTCCTCCTTCTAAATCTCCCCTTGACACTAATACAGGGGCAAACCTGTAGCTCTGCAGATCTTGTTGGGACTCCCATCAGCCTTGATCTTCATGCCCGATGGCCAGGAATGATAGAAGTTGAAGTTCTGCAACATTTGGAGAGGCATGTATTAGCCTGCTCTAAATAGCTCCAAATAGTGGGACAAGGGTGGCGCTGTGGGTAAAAGCCTCAGTGCCTAGGGCTTGCCGATCGAAAGGTCGGCGGTTCGAATCCCCGCGGCGGGGTGCGCTCCCGTTGTTCGGTTCCAGCGCCTGCCAACCTAGCAGTTTGAAAGCACTCCCGGGTGCAAGTAGATAAATAGGGACCGATTACTAGCGGGAAGGTAAACGGCATTTCCGTGTGCGGCTCTGGCTCGCCAGAGCAGCGATGTCATGCTGGCCACGTGACCCGGAAAGTGTCTCCGGACAGCGCTGGCCCCCGGCCTCTTGAGTGAGATGGGTGCACAACCCTAGAGTCTGTCAAGACTGGCCCGTACGGGCAGGGGTACCTTTACCTTTACCTTTTAAATAGCTCCAGGGTCAGTGTGTTTATAGGCTTTCTATGGGCACGTCGGGGGAATGAGGGGCAGTAGACTCTCTTTCCTTGGAGGTTTTTAAGCAGATGGTCATGTATGATCTAGTTGAGATTCCTGCATTGCAAGTGGTTGGACTAGATGACTCTCAGGGTTCCTTCCAACTCTGCCATCCCATGATTTTAATTATGGCATTTATATCCCATCTTTCCTCCAGGAACTTAAGGCAGTGTACATACCCTTCCCTCTTTTTATGTTTATATTCTCTGAAAGAATTGGTGACTGGGTAAGCTCTCCCAGTGAGCTTTCTGGTCGAGTGGGCATTTAAACCCAAATCTCCCAATTTCTAATTCAGTGTTGCTGGTGTTTCTAATTCATATAAAAACTGCAGATGGAAAGCGTTATCTTGCTTTTTCTTGGATGTTGTCTGCTAGGACGCATGTGCATAACATCATGTTGAAAAAGAAAATGTGCCTCTTGCTTCAGAACTGCTTTTACCCAAGCGCAAGGCAAATCAATAGATCCATTGACTAAACCTCACATAATTTACTGAACAGAATTTATTTAGCTTGCTTGCAGTGCTGGTTTTCAAAGGGTGATGTGCGAGAAAGCCAGGAGCCAAAGATGGCAGACTTGCACTAGAAAATGTAACTGTGGGCTCCAAGTAGAATGTGCTGGGCTGTAGGGATTGATGGCCTGCTAGAATTTTTCTATGTGTTCCCTTTGGAGCCTTTCTGTTTTCAGTAGTGAGGGGCTGTAGGGCACTGTCAAAAACAAGTCTATAAATATCTATTATTGGATGACAAACGTTAATGCTAATAATTTTAGGCATCTGAACTAGGTGTTCCCCTGCCCCCACATAATGTGAAAGCGAAGGTCAATGATCCTGAAAATAACTGATTACAGATTATGCTGAATTTTAAAAGAAGACGAATTGGTAGGGTATAACCTTTGTGTTTGCAGACACAGATGCAGTAAATGTTATCATGCTTCTGTTTCATGCCTGATTGTCTCCGTGACTGGAACTGCCAATTTCGCTTGCGCTCCTGTTATGTGTTGTTGGCTGTTTTTGTGAGACTTCTTCCATACGCCCTGCCAGAAGTCTTGTATTTACTCTGGAAATAACAGTACTGTTCTTTGGAGCAATTATTTCAGAGCAGTTGCTATCCTACAGTCCTCTCTCCTGCAAGGTTCGATCTATTCACACAGGCTACAAAGGGTGTATGAAACTGTCTCCCCCAGATGCTGTGGAAGATGGTCCTCACCCTTGTTGGATGAGATGGAACAGAAAGTTCCATCGTAGATGGTCCATTCACAAAAAACAACAACGTGCAGTCAAGAAGTGATATATGAAGAGGTTGTCCCACAGTTACTTTGTGGCTGAGAAGGAACAAGGATTTTATTATTCCAGTTTCCATTTTTCAAGCTCCTTTGGGTGCATCTCTTCCAATTCTTCCCACCGTAGTCATTGGGAAGTTGAGCATGTTCCAGTTACGCTCTGCAAAAGAGTTCAGTGAGATTGGCGAAGGCTCCTGTGGGGTTGTGTTCAAGTGCCAGAACAAGTGCATGGGTCTTATTGTTGCAATCGAAACATTTCTGGAACCTGAGGATGACCCTGTTGTTATTTTTTAAAGCATTTTTAAAGATCTGAATATTATTGGATGTGTGAAGTCCATTAAGCTAGGACTGTCTACAATTTGTTTTTCCAAAAATCAAATCACGTTTGTCTTTTTAACCAATCTAGTTGACTGACCCATTTTATCATAATAATAATAATAATTACCGTATTTTTCGCTCTATAACACGCACCTGACCATAACACGCACATCGTTTTTAGAGGAGGAAAACAAGGGAAAAAACATTCTGAATGAAACAGTGGATGTATCATTTTTGTGCTTCATGCTGTGGCCACAGACATGTGATCTGATGGTGAATTTGGGGTGACCCAATGCAAAGATCCTGAGAATCCCTGTGGATCCATGCTTTGTAACCACATTTTTGCACCATTGCAGCCCCAGGCAACAGTGGGTGCGTGATTTTTTTGGTGCAGGCTGTAGCCATGGACATGCTATGTGATCTGATGGTGAATTTGGGGTGACCCAATGCAAAGATCCTGAGAATCCCTGTGGATCCATGCTTTGTAACCACATTTTTGCACCATTGCAGCCCCAGGCAACAGTGGGTGCGTGCCTTTTTTGGGTGCAGGCTGTAGCCATGGACATGCTATGTGATCTGATGGTGAATTTGGGGTGACCCAATGCAAAGATCCTGAGAATCCCTGTGGATCCATGCTTTGTAACCACATTTTTGCACCATTGCAGCCCCAGGCAACAGTGGGTGCGTGCTTTTTTTGGGTGCAGGCTGTAGCCATGGACATGCTATGTGATCTGATGGTGAATTTGGGGTGACCCAATGCAAAGATCCTGAGAATCCCTGTGGATCCATGCTTTGTAACCACATTTTTGCACCATTGCAGCCCCAGGCAACAGTGGGTGCGTGCTTTTTTTGGTGCAGGCTGTAGCCATGGACATGCTATGTGATCTGATGGTGAATTTGGGGTGACCCAATGCAAAGATCCTGAGGATCCATGTGGATCCATGCTTTTTAACCACGTTTTTGCACCATTGCAGCCCCAGGCAACAGTGGGTGCGTGATTTTTTTGGTGCAGGCTGTAGCCATGGACATGCTATGTGATCTGATGGTGAATTTGGGGTGACCCAATGCAAAGATCCTGAGGATCCATGTTGATCTATGCTTTGTAACCACATTTTAAGTGGGGAGCGAAGGAAAAACAAAGAAGGGACATGAGAGGGGTGTGCAGAGAAGCAGCTGGCTAACAATGCTGGAGATTTGGGGTGGGAGGAAAGAAAGGCAAAAGTTCCCCCCCAAGCCAGCCATCTCTCTCTCTCTCTCTCTCTCTCTCTCTCCCTCCTTCCCTCCCTCCCTCCCCCTCTCTCCCTCTCCCTCCCCCCCTCTCCCTCTCCCTCCCCCCCTCTCTCTCCCTCTCCCCCAGCAGTACCGGAGCACAGAGACGACACTTTCCCCTCTGCTTGCCTGGAGGGGAGGGGCTTTCCCTGCTCTTTGTTCCGTTTCAGCAATCACAGCAACGAAACAGAGGAGGGGGGGCAGTAAGACCCTGAGGCAGAATGCAGGAAAGCTGCCGCTTCCTCTTTTCAGGTTTCCCTTCTCCGTGACTCGCGGTTTGACTTTTGCTTGATTTTTTGGCTCCAGGGACCACACATTCACTCTATAACACGCACAGACATTTCCCCTTCCTTTTTAGGAGAAAAAATCTGCGTGTTATAGAGCGAAAAATACGGTATCACTATGCCTCAATATAGGTTTACGTCACGAGCGGTGCGCTTTGCGAATGTGTGAACCTTCCAAGTCATCCATGTAAGTTGTTTTCAACTGTTCTTTGTACCGTATTGCTATAAACCAGCCCTGGCATCTTATGGTGAAGGGCAGTTAAGAAATAAAAATTCAGTCATCATCACCAATGTGGTACCTGCTGTATGTTATGGACTACAATTCTCATGATGATGACTAGGGCTGATGGGGGTTGGAGTCCAACTCTGTAGGGCACCAGGATACCTTTCCTGCACTATGGTGTATGGAGCTGAACTTACTTAATTCAGTAGAGAATCAGGGTGTCTTGCTCTCTGCTGGTGGAGTGTTTGTTCAGAAACCGCCAGGGCCGGCCCACCCATGAGACACGAGGTGAGGTGACCTCTTCGGGTGACAGGATCCACAAGGGCAGCAGATACTGATGCAGATCTTTATTCCTCCCCCTTTGTTCCTGATATAGGTTGTCACTCACCCCTTCTTCTGTGCCAGGGAGTGTGGCACCATTTTGTGGTTTGCCTCAGGTGCCAAAATGTCTTGTACCGGCTCTGGAAACCGCATACAGCCAATGTGACAAAACTTCAGTCTAGGGAATTTTTAGGCCACATCTGTGGGACATATTGCTCCAGCCCAAACATTTATTGTTGCTTTAATTTATGCAGTTTCCTGCTTAATTGCAGAAGCTGGCTCACGTTATACCAACATGGACCCAATATATCTCCACATATACTTGACTGCTGAATCAAGTATCTTTTATAGATGAATGATAATAACAACCTCTAAACAGTTTGCATGAAAATAGTATAAAACATTTTTTATAAATACTTTTTTTATAGCCAACAAACTATAAAAACAAGTAGACATAATTTTCTTGGGTTGTAGTCAACTTTTTACTCAGACTCACTGAAATTACTGCCAATGACGTAACTTCGCACCATTAATTCCAGTGAGTCTGCTCTGAGTAAAATTTAGTTGAATGCAACCCAAGAAAATTATCAAAATATAAATAAAATCGACTTAATAAACATAAATAACGTAACATGTCTGGGTAGGTCTTGCCAAAACAAACAAGTTTTTGGCAGGTGTCAAAAAAATTCACAGCAAAGGTATTGACCCGCCTGTGCACTGCGGTCATCAGGAGTGGCTCTGCTCACTGCCTGCCCACAATAAGAAGCCCTGCCTGGTGTTAACAGACAGATGCCTCACAAACGCACAACGAAATATTATATGCCACTTGTAAAAATGCAAGTTCTGCACCTTTGCCTGCCTGCGCAAATTCTTTTAAAGGATATCTGCACCTTTAAAAGAATAAAAATATAAACCCCTATTCATAGCAGATATCAGAGCGGTTGACAACAGTTAAAACTATACAATAAATGCCATAGAGCCACTTCTCCCCACCTGCGCCCTTTGTGGGTGGTAGGGTGACTACTTATGCCCTGTCAAAAAAAGAGGAGCAAAAGTGGACAGGGATTAGCATTGCAAAAATCCATATGCTAATGTTTATGCCTGGATACATTCCCCCCCTCCAGAATGAAGGCTGTAATTTCCAATGGAAATGCATGACAGACGTTGGAGGCTGCAGGAGCAAGCAAGCAAACCACGCTTACCCCTGCTCTGTGTCTCTGCTTGGTGTGAGACAGTAAAGCGCAGGAAATGACAGTAGCCCCACGGCAGATCTCTCTCCCCCCCCCGCCCCCCCGCCCAGATTGCTTTGCACATTAGCTCGCATTTAAATCATGACTAACTTTCGGTCATTCCTAGGTTCTGATGAGAGTGAAATCCCTACGGATGTCTGCTCAGAAGACTCATCCAGTTCAATAGATCTTTCTTCCAGGTAAGTGTTTTATAGGACTGTAGTGTCAATGTGGAGCTATATCCAGAAAACACTGGCATAGGGAAACGATTGAGCATTCTTAGAAGAATTCTGATTACAGTGGTACCTCGGGTTAAGTACTTAATTCGTTCCGGAGGTCCGTTCTTAACCTGAAACTGTTCTTAACCTGAAGCACCACTTTAGCTAATGGGGCCTCCTGCTGCCGCCGCACCGCCGGAGCACGATTTCCGTTCTCATCCTGAAGCAAAGTTCTTAACCTGAAGCACTATTTCTGGGTTAGCGGAGTCTGTAACCTGAAGCGTATGTAACCCAAGGTACCACTGTATTCTTTTCTTATTGTGTCCCGTTCTCTACTAGCTCATAGTTTTTGCACTGCCAAAGCTATACAGACTTTTAGAAAAGGGATCTGATTAGTGGAAAATGTCAAGTGTCTTGTGAATGACTTAAGCGCGCACAATGGATTCTTCACGTAGCCCCTTTAATCCTAAACTTCCTCTATTAACACTTAAGGAAAGTTAAAGGTTTTCTCATGTGTTAAAAGAGGGGGGTGTTTTTTCCTACCAACTGCTGAACGTTCTTAGTATAAGGATGCCCAGTTCATTTTGCCTTCTGAGACATCTTTTTTAAAAAGAAGAAGAAAGAATTACTAGCACACTTGGAAAGCAGATGTGCCTATATAAGGATCACATATGTGAATTCATTCAACACAGTTAAAACTGGCAGAGGCATCTATGACTACTGTAAGGAAACCCCAAACACGTTGCAAGGAAATGATCCAATAAGGAAAGAAGAGAACTGAAAGCTGAGGATTGTGTACCATCTAAGGGTATCCAATAGGAACTCACTTCAGCTCCTGCCACTGTGAGGGTCAAAATGACTTAGTGTGTTCGATTAAGACTGGAAAACACCAGGTTCAAATTCTCTTAGCTATTACATTCTGTGGCTAGTTGCCAACTCATCAACAACCCACATCACGGGGTGGTTGTGAGGAGGGGGTTGGGCTTCCTCAAGGAAAGGCAGTACAGTCGTACCTTGGAAGTCAAACTGAATCCGTTCTGGAAGTCCGTTTGACTTCCAAAACGTTCAGAAACCAAAGTGGAGCTTCTGATTGGCTGCAGAAAGCTCCTGCAGCCAATCGGAAGCCACGTTGGACGTTCCAAAGAACGGTTCCAAACCAGAACGTTCGGGAGCCAAAACATTCAACTTGCAAGGCGTTCCGGATCCAAGGTATGACTGTATATAAAATGTTCTAGATATTGTTCCACACTACATGTGAGAGACCTTTCTCAACGGTGGCCCCACTACTCTGGAACTCTCACTACAGGTAAGAAATTTAAAATGACAACAACAACACTATTCAGCGGCCAGGTTGCTGACTGGGGCAAGGCGCAGGTTGAGCATATTACACCAATCCTGACCCAACTGCATTGGCTACCAATTAGGTTCTGAGCCCAGTTCAAAGTGCTGCTGTTGTTTCTTTACCTCTTTAATAGGTCTTTGGCTGATTGACAACCAATGCCCTTTTAAAATGTGTTGGGAAGAATATTGAGTTATTCTTGTTTTTATTATGTATTCTGTAATTTTATCTTGTGAATGGCTCTGAGACCTGTGGGTATAGAGCAGTATACAATAAATGCTACTACTACTAATAATAATACAGTGGTACCTCAAGTTACATACGCTTCAGGTTACAGACTCCGCTAACCCAGAAATAGTGCTTTAGGTTAAGAACTTTGCTTCAGGATGAGAACAGAAATCTGGCTCCGGTGGCGCGGCGGCAGCAGGAGGCCCCATTAGCTAAAGTGGTGCTTCTGGTTAAGAACAGTTTCAGGTTAAGAACGGACCTCCGGAATGAATTAAGTACTTAACCCGAGGTACCACTGTACTCTATTAACGCTTGGTTCTGTACTAAGTTTGCAAAATGACCATGCTAACCTTGAGCCCTGACTCCTCCACCCACTGTGAAAATGGAATAAGCATGAATGTGCATTAAGGCTTTGCTAACAGTGTGGATTATGGGCGGTGCAATGCGTTCCGAGAGGCCAAGCGTAGTAACATTGAAAACCACAAAGCGTTTGTTGCCTTTTCAAATACATTTATTAACCAATGTTAACACATTTAATGACTCTATATATTGCTAGTCAGAGCAGCTTACAAAATGCCAGAATGCAGCATAGAACTGGACAGCCACAATGAGTAAATTACAATGTGCATAGTGGCTAAGCTCAACACTTTAATATAGCTTTATGATTTGCAGGGGGGAAATATTTTTATTTTTATTTCAAATCAAGATTCCTAAAACAATTATATTTCCCCCCCTAAAACTTATACAAAAACCAGGCCACAATTTTTTTTGTTCTTTTTCTGATTTTTTTTTTATATAAAAAAAGGAAACACAGTTTTCACACTGTAGTAACTTGAAAATGTGCAACCGTGTCAACAGAGACAAAAAGGGAGAAAAAGAAAACCCCAAAAATAACACGAATCGTACTTTCATGCAGCTATCAGTTAAATATTACATATCTTGGAATGATTTTACACCAAAAGAAAAAAAAGAGAGGGGGGAAAAAAGAAGAGTTTTCACACAAAAACTTGCTTTTTATAGGGCTGGACCGAAGTTTATTTTGTGGTTGTTTTTTTTCCCCATGGAAAAATCGTAAAATAATCAAAGGGCGCTTCTGAGTTGCACTCAAAATAGTGGTGAAACTTCCTTTATAGTTGCAACGCAGAGCAACGAAAGCTCATTTCCTAAAGGATGTGAGGTCACTAAGATAAAGCTGGTACAGGTGCTCACACAAACCTATAGCAACCTTTTATGAATGCAGAGGCCCTGATGCTTTTAAGGTATTCCTGGACCTCCACGATTTCCCCATTCATCTGGGCAAAGGAATCAGACTGACAAGAACTCCTCCTCCTCTGCATATATGAATGAGGCAGTTTTTGCCTGTAAAAGATCGTACGTGCGTACTATTTGCATGTGCAAATATCTCTGAATCAGGGGGGAAATACGCCCACCTTACTACCATATCTGATTTCAGTGGTGGTAACAGCAACTTGGAAATTATCTGGTAGTATCTATTCCTGTCACCGCTTTATCTCTTATGATTTTCAGTTGCAGTGAAGATCACAGACGACTTTGCATGAGCTTCATCTACCTACTGGCCCTGACAATACCTAGAGAAAACTAAGAGAGCTTTTTCCTCCCGTTCTTCCATTTCCATTGTGTTACCGCTTTCAATAAATATCCAAGAGCAAAATAAATATTTACAAATTATTTTTCTACCTTGAAGGGGGTAAAAAAAGAAGAATGCTATGGGTTTAGTGGGCATTAGTCAAGTCTAAGACCACCTTTTTGAAAGAACCCCTAAAATGGTGAGAAGCTTTGGAAAAAAAAGTTGGTTAAATAAACTTTACACCTATTATTAAAAATTGTCTCTGAACATGGATGCAATTTATATATATATATATATATATGTATATATATGTGTGTATATATATATACCTATACATAAAACAAAACAAAAAGAAAGGAGGGAAATCAGTTTTCAACTATCGATCCATTCCTATTGGTAACGCTTCTTAATCCAGACATTCCGCAAAAGACAAACTTTTTACAAATCACAGCATCTTTTAATACAGGAAAAGTAACATGCATTATTCTTCATTCTAAGTATAGAGATGGCAATAACCAATTATTACAGACATAACTGCTTCTGTGAAACTTAAGTGCTTCCCCCATCCCCCAACTTTAATTAATTTACTGTTGAGTTAGTAATTGTAGATTAACGGGCAGTCAAATAACATTCCATATGGTGGGGAACTGTGCAGAATGGGGGATTGTAAGGGGACAAATTATTAAGCCAGTTTTCTACTTATGCTTCCTCCTTTTAGCTCCATATGTGACTAACGATGCAAAATTGGGTGTCTTTCCCCCCAAATCTTTTCTTTTTTGGCTTCCTTTTTACAAGCATTCATGTTGGAAGGAGGATGAAATGTGCAAAAATTTAAAATTTAAATATTATTATTTTTCTAAGATCCAGCTCAGCAAAAAGGCTACCCTAGTCCCCTGTGATTTTTTTTTAAGCAATAAGATCAAAGCTAATATTTTTTTTTGTTATAAAAGCTATATATTGAAAAAATAATAATAATAGTGAAACAAAACAAAACTGGGGGGAAATCGTTTTAAGAAAAAATATGCAGGACTAGTACCTGCTGTGTCAACCCTGTTCCCAAAATTCAGTCATATACCCACTGGCACAAACCAACAGATAATGCCTTTAAACAGTAAATTAAGCTGAACAAAACCAGCTCGTGTGATTAACAGGTAAATGTTACATCAAGGTAGTATGCTTTTTCTTTCTTTCTAAGCAGTTTTAAATGTCTTACATTCAGATCTCTTTAAAATGTTCCTGTCATTATATTTCTTCGTCTCTACGAAACCTAAAAACTTCGCTTTCATTTTTATTTTTTTTAAATTTGCTGAAAACCCAACAAATTGTCTAGGTTAACAATTACAAAAAGAAAAAGAAAAAGTAGAAGCAGTGTGCTCCAAATTGCCTTACGGACAAAAGGAAAAGGAAAAAAGAGGATTTTTGAGAGGAGCGTTAAAACACAAGACTGAAAATTTTAACTGTGCAAAAAGTTCTTTACGAAAAAAGTGTTTTAAAGGCTGGTAGGGGGGAGGGAAAAAAGAAGAGAGGGGGAAAGTAGAAGAGGGGGAACGAATTCTAATCAACAATTCTGACCCCTTGGGAAACAAACTTTAGAAATGAAACGAAACCCAAAAAAACCTGCTGCGTCAGAGGATAGCACTGCACTGGGGTGACTCCTTTGCAGAGAAAGGGGGGCTCTCATCTTTTCCTGCGGCAGGTGCGTTTGTGCTCAGCGTGCCAATGTTCCTGCTGACACTTGATGGAGCAATAGGAAGTGTTCCAGCAGCAGTGATACATGGCCTCCTCTTCACAGTTGTAGCACTGAGGGGGAGAAAGGAAAACAGCAAAAACAGTCAAGTGAAATTTAGGCACACGGCCTCTCCTCGGTACCTATTGCTCATCCTGCAGCTGCCTGTCGGTCCAGGACCTGCCTCCTCCCTCCCCCCCCAAAAAAAACCCCCTGATGCTATTTGGTTTCTGGAAAACGTTGCAAGTTTGAAACCGGCCCACCAGTTCCATCTGGTGGCACTGGGTTCGGATCCAGATTTAGGGCTGACTCACAATGCATCCCTTGGTGACTTGCAAATCAATCAGTGAACTGGCACCTCTGAAAGCAGTTTTTTTTGTTCAAGGTGGGATGGAGGGTTTGTTCTGTGTTGTTCGCACATGCAAACCACCAAGTAACAGACATGCATGCCAATGCTGATGACCTTTGATCGTTCATAGGTTGAGAGCAGACCCAAACTAATATAATCTAACATGGCAGAGGATGACTTTTAACAGGCATCAGACAGTGGCCTGGGGTTCTACATTTCATGACTGCTCCCCATCTTATTATTTTCAATTTAAACATTTTTATCCCGCCTTTCCACCCATACGGTACTCCACGGCGGCTAACAACAAATGACACAATACAACCCAAACCATTTTTTTTTTAAAGGGATCAATGCTAACAAAAGAATAAAAACGGCAAAAAGCAGCCAAACAGCATCAAAAGAAAGCATCCTCCAAAACAAAGAAGCAAGGATAGCAGTAGCCAAACAGGTCAAGCGGCGTCAAGATGCGGAATAGCAGAAGCTTAGACAGGTAGCTGAAAATAGGCAGGGAATGGGGCAAGCAAGCCCCCCATGGAACAAGGGCCAAAGCCCAGAAAAGCCATGCACCACCTGCCCAGGTTTCAGCTGTAGGTCTAAGCAAGGAGAGTGTTTAGTATGGAGGAGGGGGGTCGGGGACCCTGCAGGTGTCACTGGGCTCCTACTCCCATCAGCCCCAGCCAGCAAGGCCAGGGATGACCCCCAGGTCCATAGCAGCCATCCTGCTCTGCAACAGAATGATGCTCCAGGAGAGCAGGTGAGCAGGATGGAGCTGCCTTGGCCTCTGGCAACTGAACTGCTGCAGCTCTGTTTTGGTTGGCCTCTTACTCTTCCTGTTGCTTTCGCCAGCTGCAGATATTCTACCATTAGGATTTGCCAATCTTCCATGTTGGGTATTGTTGTGTTTTTCCAATTTCTTGCTACTAAAATTCTGGCCGCACTTATTCCGTACATGAACAATGTTCTTTTCGATTCTCTTATTTCTTTTGGCAAAATGCTTAATAAAATTAGACTGATCCCTGTATTGTATAAATGTAAGTTCGTAGGGAGGTAAAAAGAAATTATGTAAGAAATATGTAACCGTGCGGTATAAAGTAATGGATAGATAAAGTACAGTGAGATTAACTGGAAGTCAGTTTTAAATTTCTTCTCTATAAGTTTTATAATTGTGTTCAGTATCGGGAGTATATAGGATGATAATTATATTAATCTTCTTGTATCTTATAGTGTGGTGGTTTGTTTGATTTTTCTGTTATTTGTTTGTTTACTTGTATGTACGTCTGTTTTCTCATAAATGTATTTATTTTAAATTAATAAAGATATATTTTTAAAAGTGGGAAAAATGAACTGCTGCAGCTCCCCAGGGCCAGCTGTCACCACCTCCCTCCTCCTCACAGAAGAAGGTCTAAGGGCAGAGGGGTTGGGAGGCTTGCTGAGGTCTTGAGGGAGTGCATTTGGTAATGTGTGTTAGGGCACCAGAGGCTTGGGTGGGATTTGCACTCCGTTGCACCTCCGGCGTCAGGGGCACAAAGGAAAAGCAGGGGAGGGTCGCAAAGGGCTGAAAAGGCCAGGCTTTGCAACCCTTCCTGTGTGTCATGATAACTGCGCAAAGCGTGACAATGCTTAACAAAGGGAACAATCTCTTTCAACCGTGGTACGTGTGCAGGGAGGAAAAGGAAGGGCTGCAAAGCAACTGGGCATCAAGGAAAAAGGGAAAGCAAACGATGACTCCTGCAGAGATGATGGAGAAAAGAAAAGGCCCTTCCACGCCCCCCGTTGGCACTGCGGAAATAAAGCCACAAAACAGGCCACCGTACATCCGTCCGCCGTGATGATGACGCTGCCTGCATGCAATAGTTAGTGATTTGTAGCCAGCGCTGCTTACCCACTGCTTCTTCTTGGTCTGGGAAATCAGTTGCTTGTGCTGGCTGGCTAGCTTCTTAACCTCTTCTAAAAACTCCTCTTTGCACTTCTCCTTCACCTGCTTTGTCTTCCTGTCGCACTCTGTCTGCATGTTTGCAACAGCTTTGTTCACAGCCTGCCTTTTTTCCTCCTCCATATCTGTACGCAGCTGGGCGGGGGGGCAAAGAAGCAGGTGAGCAGGTGAATGGACATAGCAGTTTCCACACACACACCCCGCAAAAAAACAAACACCCAACCTGCAACAGGTAACACTCCACATTGCCAGCTGCTTTCCAACATGGAACTGACCCCACATCACCCCTTCTGATTCACACTGTGCCTACTTTCCTCTTGATGAGCTAGCACTATTCTTGGCAGTTCTCCTCGGCTGCCGTTTGGAGTCGCAGGCATCGGCCTGGGCGCTGGAGCAAAGCTGCCAAGTGGCTTGTAGGGATCAAGTGTGCTGGATCTGCCTCAACAACAAAAAACCCTTGAGATTTCGCCAGGCTGTGTGCCCGCACTGGGGCAAAACGCACAGAGCAGCTGCACCAACTGATCTGCGCAGCCTGAAATTCAGGCAAGTGCCACAGCTGTGTTTTTGGCACGTGTGATGCATCACGGCTGATGCTGCCGCATTGCTCCAGTTTAGAAGATGTATATGTTCTGTCTCAGGCTGCAACACCCATGGCACAACCAGGTGCAGATGCAATCTCATTAAAAGCAAAGGAAAACACTCCTCTTTGAAATCTTTGTTGATTGAGAAGCCAGCTATAACATCATGTAATGTCTTGCACAGGATTTTTTTTTTAAAGAACAAACTGCTTTGAGGATTAGAATTAATCAACATCCTCAACAAAGATCGTTCTCTTCCTGACATCCCTGCTTCTGCTCCCTTTAAATCCCAGGCCACTCCTCCGTGTGGGTGTTTGCCCGACTTTATGGGTTCTACTGCAGCAGAGGTGGGGAACCCCAGATCTTCCTCTTCCCATTCCCACGGGCCAACTTTGGCAAGTGGGTGGGGAAGACCCACCTGTCAAAGGGGTCTGATTTGCCTTTCCCTCGGGGAACGCGCTGGCAAAGCAGCACCAGCAGGACTCGACCATTGGTTCACCAGCTGATGAGAAGTTTCTACCTTGCTGCCTGCAATGGGTCTTGCATCAGCAGCACAGAACATACTGAAGCAGCCCCCAGCAGAATCAAACCCTGCCCTGCTACTCGTCAGTTGATGCTACCCCAATGACATCAGCTGGTGGACAGGTGGGTCTGGTTTGGAGGGAAATGGTTTTGTTGGCCAACCTGGAATCCCTGGAAGGCCAAGAGTAGCTTGCAGGCTGGGGTTTCCTCACCCCTGCACTAGTGCAATAACAACAATAATTTATATAGTGATGCTCTCCCACCTTAGCAAGCCTTGCAAAAGCCATACAAGGCAAGGCATTTCTTATTGGTGTGCCACGTTTCTGCCACGCAGCCAACGTGGTGCCCTTCAGATGTTGCTGGACTCCCAATTCCAATCACCCTTGATCGCTGGCCATGCTGGTTGGGCTGATGGGAACTGTAGTCCCCAAAACACCTGGAAGGCACTCCACTGGCCTTAAGTCACATTGGGAGCAACATGCGTGGCTGAAGCAACATTTAAACCAGCTCACATTCTACACACCAATGTCCCCCTACAAGCGGTGGTCCTGTACTGCTCCCACAGGGCTCGAGGCCAGGGACTCTTCTCCAACAGCCTTTTACCTGGGAAGGGATCAACCAGGGGTTATCACCCCTGTGTGGAACAAGTACACTCTGAAGGAAGGGGGAAATTGATACACGGTGGTGTGAAATTTGAGGATGGTATACAATTGGAATTAACGCCTTCCCTGTGGTCAGAATTACCTTCTCAAGAGCTTCTCGCACCACCCTCTCCGTCTCCCTCTTATGATCAGCCTTGAACCTTTCTTTGAAGTCGCTGAAGATTTTGGTGTATTTGTCATGGCACATGTTTTGACATACTCCGTCATTATTGGTCTGGGTGCTCCGATGCAGCATTTTTGGAGAAGAGGCACTTAACTTCTTTGTCTGGGTTGACACGGAAACTTTTTCGATGGGTTGAGGCATTGTGGGGATTTCCTGGCTCGAACTAACTGCTTCCGTTTCAGGCTCCGGCTCCTGGGGGAAATCAACAAAACGACTCCTCTTAATCACCAGTGGAGACAAACGTAATCATCTGGGTTTCAGATATAGAGAGTGGGAAGACACTGAAGCAATGTGCAAATCAGGTCCAAACACACCTGAAGGCAAAAGGAGCAATGCTATATAGTATTACAGCACTACAACAATAACACAGGTGACCATGCCAGTGCTGCAAAACTACCTAATAAGGAGGGGGAGAAAACACATCTAGCATAGAAATGAATTAACTTGCCAGCTTCTCCTTGAAATCTTTCAGTCCCAGCTGATCATTACAAGAATTCTGTAACTAAGAAACAGAGACTTTGTTTTTTTCCCTCTCTTCCCTTCTCAATGCGTTTTCCTTTTGTGTTGTGTCTTTTAGATGGTAAACCTGAGGGCAGGGACTGTATGATTAGTAAACCCCTTAGTAACCCCCTCTGAGCCTTGTTTGGTTGAAGAATGAGGTGAAAATGAATGAATGAGTATTACTAGACACACAGAATAAGGGCTGTAGGTTTACAGAACCAGAGACTATGTGTCTCTTGACTTTGGCTGTACAGGTTGGGGCAGATGTAACACTGGCCATGAGATAGGAAGCAGGCTGCAGGTTAGTGTACACACTTTCCCTCCCTTCCCAAACTCTGCTTAAGGCGGGAGCCCTGGTTATGTACAATGGAAGTTGGCACAGATGCAATGCTAAACCATGGTTAAGGCAAACAAGGGAAGCAAGGAGGAATTTGCACGGAAGAAGGGAAGAGAGAGTGCTCTCCATCTCCTAACTGCGGTTAAGAGATCGGCAGTGTTACATCTGCCCCAGGCCACGGGACTTGACGTTGTGGAATTTTGAGCTTTCCAGTCACTTAAGTGACAGAACAAGCGGGTGTCACTTTTAGCAATCAATCCTTAATGAAATGAGAGCACAATTTATTTACATAGAACTGCATTTAAAAGATCCAGATTGGAGAACTTGGTCCAAATAGGTAAGACAGCTTTAAGCAGTAATTTGGAACAGTAATGCACTCTTTTAAGAAATGGCAATCGCTCTTCTGACATTCACACAGTCAATAGTAATGGAGTATAAACTGAATTTGTGAATGATAAGAAAGAAAGGATGCCTCTCAGAATTTTTTCTCCTGCCTTATGCATAGGTGCATGTACCAAATTTGCTGTTTCTTACTTCCTTTTTGGGTTCCACGCTTTGATTACGTCTTCCTTTCTTTGCCCTTGGTTCCTGAGTAACCTTTAGCTGGAGATATTGTTGAAAAAACAATATAGTATTAATTCAAATGCCATAAAACACTAATTCAGAATTGCTGATAAGTAATGAGTATTTTACTTTTATTTCTCTGCAAAAAAAAAAGTTGACTATATATAAAACACAACCTACAAAATAAACGGTTCATTAATACCAATTAATTTATTTCTATATGCTGAACTACGTAAAGCAAACTAAAAGAATACCAAGCCTTTGAAAAAGCCCCCAAGGAGGATACAGTGCTAAGGATACAGTGCCAAGCAAGCATGTTTGAACCGCAAGGATGTAACTAGATCTCATGGTGACATTGCCTCAGTTATTAAGCTATCATATGGCCATAAACTTTAAGAGCAGGGTTTCCCAAACTTGGGTCTCCAGCTGGTTTTGGACTACAACTCCCATCATCCCTACCTAGCAGGACCAGTGGTCAGGGATGATGGGAACTGTAGTCCAAAAACAGCTGGAGACCCAAGTTTGGGAAGCCTTTTTTTAGAGCATCTGGGAAAGCCCATCTTCAAGGCAACTTGGAGCTTCCTTCCAAGAGCACAGATTGGAGGCACACTGAAATCTGGTTACATAATAAAATTAGGATAAATGAGGGAGGGATTCAGAGCAGAGTAGGTATTAACGTCACATTATGAACAGCCAACTTTCATCCATGCTAGGCCACAAAGAGTACAAAACCTGAAGCCAAATCAAACCAACTAAAATCTCAAACTTCATCTGAATCCAACAAGAAACAGACTACTAAATAAAATGTAAATCAGTAAGAATATGGCATATTTGCGGCGGCGGTGGGGGGCATAAAATATGTTTTGTGACTTTGCTTTCACTGACAATCATTTAGCTTTTAAACAGTGCATGAACCATTGCTCCAGAACCTCTATTAAGAGGCTGGAATCCACAAACTGACAGCCGTGCCAACATTCAGAGATTATTGATCAAAACTGCAATACAGATTAGGAATACGTGCAGCCATTCACCTTTGTTTTGCATGAACTGCCCTACAGATAACAAATAACTCACGCTTATATCCCTCTGGGTAACATGTCCTTGCAGAGGAATTAAAAATCCAACCCTGCTGTTGACACAGAGGCAGCTGCTGTTAGTGCAGCAGCATTAAATTGCACGGGCACAACAAATGAAATGGTTGCAGCTGTCCAATAGGTAGAAGGATCACATTTAAGTTTCCCAAATTCATGACTGAGTGGGGCTGGGGGGAATCGCATTGCACAAACAGGCTCATAAATACAAAACAAAGGGGAACAGAATTTCGTTAATATAGCCATCAATGCATGTTTTACACATCATCAGCAGGACATGTTCACAGGACTGACATGCAACCAAATAACGTTGTGTATCATGCAAAAACAGGAAACCAGATCCTATCAGCTTTCGGCTCATCTGGCACAGTATTGTCTACACAGACTTGCGGTGGCTCTTCAGGGTTTCAGACAGGAGACATTTCCAGGCCTTAGGTGGCGCAATGGGTTAGTGCATCTGGCTGTTAACCAGAAGGTTGGTGGTTCAAGCCTATCCAGGGACGGCTGTAGACAGGATTCCTGCATTGCAAGGGGTTGGACTAAGATGACACTCAGAACTGTAGATTTGGAAGGGACCCTACGATTCTAATGGGAAATGCCAGGGAGTAAACCTGGAACCTACTGATTGTAGAGCAGATGTTCTACCACTGAACCACAGCCACCTTGCTTCTGGTTTCTAGTCTGCAGTGGAAACCTGAATGCCTGTGGACACCTATCTTTTCATTCCTCGCTCAAAAACATTCTTGGAGAACCAGGATGTCAGGAACAAACTTTATAGATTATCATTCTTGCTACGAAGTATGGAGTGTTTCTGAGGAATAACAGCTGGCGCAGAATTTGTCTTACTCAAAACAGGAACACGCTCGTGAGAAAGCAGACTCAAAAGAACAGCCTAACTTTGTGCACGAATCCACGGAAAGTCAGCCTTCACCTGCAAGGCTGATTTCCCAGGACGACTCACCTGCTCATTGCTGGTGGAGGAGATGCTGGATTCTGCCTCCTCCTCCCCTTTATCCTCGTTCTTTGATTTCCAGAACCTGCCGTCTCGAAGGAAGCGCTGGTGTAGTTCCAGCTCATCACACGCTTTTTTCCAGCCCATGCTACGTTTTACATGCAGCCGATGTATATTAACTGTGATCTCTTGAATATTTTCTGAAGGAATCCAGGCCCTGGACAACGTAAATTAAAAGTCATTCTTAAGAAAGCTCAGCTGCATGTTTGATTTATGCACACCTCTTGAAACTGGCTAGGGCACAGTTTCTAAAGTAGTGGTTTTTTTTCATATTGAAAGTCTATACGTGAATTATCATAAGGAAGATACCTTACAGTCTTTTGTTACAGGAGACCCTACCTGCCCGCGGACTGTCTCTGCCAGAGTGCTGCATGCTCTGGTTATCTCCTGCTTGGACTACTGCAATGCGCTCTATGTGGGGCTACCTTTGAAGGTGACCCAGAAACTGCAATTAATCCAGAATGCGGCAGCTAGACTGGTGACTGGGAGTGACCACATAACACCGGTCCTGAGAGATCTGCATTGGCTCCAGTACATTTCCGAGCACAATTCAAAGTGTTGGTGCTGACCTTTAAAGCCCTAAACGGCCTCGGTCCTGTATAGCTGAAGGAGTGTCTCCACCCCCATCGTTCAGTCCGGACACTGTGGTCCAGCGCTGAGGGCCTTCTGGCAGTTCCCTCATTGCGAGAAGTGAGGTTACAGGGAACCAGACAGAGGGCCTTCTTGGTAGTGGCACCCACCTTGTGGAACACCCTCCCTTCAGATGTGAAGGAAATAAGCAGCTATCCTATCTTTAAAAGACATCTGAAGGCAGCCCTGTTTAGGGAAGTTTTTAATATTTAATGCTGTACTTTTTTTAACACTTGATTTGGAGCCGCCCAGAGTGGCTGGGGAAACTCAGCCAGATGGGCGGGGATATAATAATAAATTATTATTATTATTATTATTATTATTATTATTAGCCTCATATGATGGGACGGTTCAGATGCCAGTCTAAAAAAAACCCCATGGATCAGAAATGCACTATGTACCTGTGTGTTCCCCCCTCTCTTTAATTACTTAATTGAATACAAGATTTCAAGCTACAGTTTGCTGTGATTTGTCAAGCCACTGTTTACTGTGATGTCCAAGGCAGGAAACTATGGCTTGAAGCGGACAGCAAATCTGCTTTGTAGGGAGTACTCAGATCACAGAGTTTCCAAGCTCGGGCATCACAGCGAGCTGAAGTTTAGCAAACCAAGAAATATTGAATTCAACTGGGTAAGCAAGCAGCACAAAGACACATGGGAATTCCTGGGCTAACAAATAATGCTGACATTTAAATCGGGCCATTGATTTTCCACCTGAAGCTTCCCCCACCCCTTTTTAAAAAAATAGCTAGCATAAAAGAATAGTGTTACCAAATGTGTTTCCCCTCTAGCAATGGTTCTATATTACCCTTCTTTCTTACTTTGCTTCTTACAATAAAATGGATGTGCTTTGCAATTGGGGGGGGGGGGACCTATTGCTGTAATATGGATTTTTTAAAAAAACAACAGCTCCTTAGATAAGGCTACTTTTATTTGTATGTGGTTCTGATCTCATCCCATTTTGCACATGTCTAAAATGCCATACAACTGTAAGTACCAATCTTTTATTCAGATTGCTATATGAAGAAATGAGTCAGGCAGACTTTGTCTCATTCTTTTATCTAAAATAATGTTAGAGAGCATCCCTGCAGCAGTTCTGAAAGTGAAATTTCTTGTGAGTCACTGGACAGTCCCTCATATCTTTTCTAAAATCAAGTGAGTTAGGGAAAACAAAACATGGTCTATGTGGCTTGTAATTATTATTTTTTTCGCCTGGACCTTAAGAAACAAAGAGGTAGGCTCATCAGAAGCTGCAGATATGAACATACCTTTGGTGGTGGTGACCAAAAAAGCGAACGTCCACCTGATTGTCCTCTTTCTGCATGACTTTGGCAGGCCAGAATCCAAAACCTTTCATTTTAGCCCAAACCAGCTCATGATTGGGTATCTAGAAATTAAAGAAAGATGTAAGTTGTAGAATGATGGCTGGCTATGGGACTTAAAGGTATGACACTCAACTGCAGAATCAAGACGAAACTCACCTGTGATAGTGCTGAACTATGTCTTATACACAGGAACCATAAGATTTCACCTTTGTGAGCCTAACACCACAATGCCAAACCATTATCCCCTATCCCTTTCGCTGCAGGCACAGCAAATCTGAGGTTCCTAGCTTAAATTTAAGTACTCTGTTAGAATTCGTTTGCACCTAAATACCAGGTTATTTGATGCCCACAGAGGCTGACCGACATGTGAAGTTCCAGGCGCTTGAGCATTTTGTTCTCTTGCACATGGGAAATGCTCCATGTGCCCTTAGGAATCTGTGCAGGTTCGCCAGAGTTGCTGGATTAGAACCAAAAGTGTAAACCGCGTTTCAAGCCGGTACATCTGAATGCTTAACTGGTGCTTGTTCCCATCATCTAGTACTCAGAGATTTCATTCTGCAATCACAGCTGGTAGCCATTAATAGACCTTTGGGTTTTGTTTTGTGTTGGTTTTTTTAATGTAATGTTCTTTAAAAGGTTATCTGCGCTGCTGGCCATCACCATATATTGTGGCAGCAAATCTGAAAAATTAATCATGAGTAGCATGAAAAAGCAAACTGGAGAAGTAAAACTTACACAAGGATAGCAGAACCAATTGTCGGGACGCGCGTTCGATAAATAGAAACAGTTCTTGCAAAGCTGAAGTTCATCCAGCTGAAACAGGAAACAATCTTTAAGTATATTCTCTAACATGATTATATTTTTGACTGGAGTTTTCACGTGGTCCTCTGCCTTTGCAAAATTATACTAGCTGTACATGCTAAGCAAATGTTTAGGCCTTAGCACTCTTTTATTTGTGCTGAGTATAAAACCAAAAACTTCTTCATTTTTTTAAAAACAAACTATGACATGAATATGAGAATAATTAGCAAACTTTAAAACATTTCCTACCCTCTAGAATAATTTGACTATGGAAGCACTAATGCAACAGCTGACAATGTTTAACTCTATTTAGACATCTCCTTTTTTTTTATTAAAGTGAAAAAGTGGCTTCAATTTTTGAAGCAGGTGTCAAACCTCTCTGATCTGGATGAGTGCAAATGCATGAACCAGAAGCTAAAACACTTCACTTCTAATTCTGTCTCTTTCCATTAACTAATCAGCCACCTCTCACAAACTGAATAAAAATAAAATCCATTTTTCCTCTTCTGTTTGCATGATTTAAAAAAATGCAGCTATGTAAGCCCACAGTTATACGGGAAGATAGAATAGCCAATAAGCTTGCTAAGAAATGGTGTATTTTTAAAGCTGACAATATTTACAAAACACAAAAGAGCGTCTCTCTTGGGGCTCTCGATGTTGAATCAACTGTTGCACAAGATTTACTTATTTCCAGGAAAGCTTTCAAGACAAGAAGAAGAAGAAGAAGAGTTTGGATTTGATATCCCGCCTTTCACTCCCTTTAAGGAGTCTCAAAGCGGCTAACATTCTCCTTTCCCTTCCTCCCCCACAACAAACACTCTGTGAGGTGAGTGGGGCTGAGAGACTTCAAGGAAGCGTGACTGGCCCAAGGTCACCCAGCAGCTGCAAGTGGAGGAGCCGAGACGCGAACCCGGTTCCCCAGATTAGGAGACTACCGCTCTTAACCACTACACCACACTGGCTCTCGTGGAACCATTTAGCATATGGAAACTGGTAGGCAATTATCCTGACACCAAATAGCACTGACAGCCAACTTACTTGCTGGATATTACTCACCTCGTGGCAGGTGTCTTTGTAAAGCATTCTGGCTATATCAGCTTGCTCACTGTCCGCTGCAAATAAAGGCACACAAAACTAAGTATTGGCACACTTTTCATACAACCACCAATCTCTTATTAGTGTGAAGAACCAAATGGATACATTTATAATGGCTATTTACTAATTTCTGTTCTGATTCCTCAGAGCTTCTCAACAACTCTACAATTCTGTAGTTCTTGCACTGGTGCTCTTTGCCACGACTATAGGGCCAAAGTTCCCCAGAGCAGATATTTACACATGAAGGGCACATTCGTAAACGCACAACAGAACTAAGGAATCTGAGGTGCACGTTACAGACCTCCTGAATTTTCTCTTTTTACTGTGGGGAACACAACAGATGTGTTTGCCAGACAGAGTATAATCTCTCAGTGATATATCCAACTATGGTGAGAAAGGGGTGTTTGACCTTTAAAGCCCTAAACAGCCTTGGTCCTGTATACCTGAAGGAGCATCTCCACCCCCATCGTTCAGCTGAGATCCAGCGCCGAGGGCCTTCTGGCGGTTCCCTCATTGCGAGAAGTGAGGTTACAGGGAACCAGACAGAGGGCCTTCTCGGTAGTGGCACCCACCCTGTGGAACACCCTCCCTTCAGATGTGAAGGAAATAAGCAGCTATCCTATCTTTAAAAGACATCTGAAGGCAGCCCTGTTCAGGGAAGTTTTTAATATTTAACGCTGTACTGTTTTTAACACCTGATTGGGAGCCGCCCAGAGTGGCTGGGGAAACTCAGCCAGATGGGCGGGGTATAAATAATAAATTATTATTATTATTATTATTATTAATTATTATTATTATTATTATTTTCTGTTCCTTGGTACACGCACTATGCAGTTGGGCTTGCTAAAAGTCATCTAGAACTATTATGTCTGAAAACATCTGCCTGCAACACACCTGCTCTCTCAGTTTGTGATGTGCTAAAATTTCAGCTGAGCAGGCTGGTCTCTGGAGGAGCTAAAGGGCAGTTGGTGTGTTTTTGCTTTTGAGATCTCTGTGGCTCTAGCCACATTTAATCCTTCCGGCACACGCACTTCCGATAAGCACGCTGGCGAGGAAGAGACAATGCCGGAGAGTAAAATAATGCATTCAGATTTGTAACTAGGGCCAAGCCAAACATTTATCGTTTTGATTTTTCATGTCTGCTGCTGTTGCTCTTTTGGCAAGCTAGAAATTCCTACTCAATAAATAGGCAGTCTTTCTTGAGGGGAAAATGCCCACGTGTTTTTTGAAGATGCTCTGAGGGTAGCAGTTTCCAGAGCGTGTGACTGTGAAGCACAGAAGCAAACCCTAAAGGATATAGGTTTGGAAGTACTTGGCAACTTGGCAGCCAAAATAGCTGTACAGTCAAGAAACCCTGCTCCAGTCACATGGGACTTGGGAGAGCTTGCACAAGATATATAAAAGGGAAGCCAACTGATCTCTAGCTGAGTTGGCCTGTGGGACCTCCTCCCACAAGCTGGGGTCATTTTGGATTATCTCAGGACTAGTTAGCTCTCTTGGGGATGGGGAGCACAGTCTCCTTTGAACCTACTTGGGAGATTCCATAGCCCCAATGGAAAGCAATTGATGCTTTCGAAGGAGCAGAAATGAAATTGAAATTGCAGGAAATATTTCGGCTCAACCCTATGAGGTGTGTGGCTTATGTAAGATCCTATCGCACTGGTTTGCTTTGACTGGGGTCAGCAAACTTTTTCAGCAGGGGGCTGGTCCACTGTCCCTCGGGCCTTGTGGGGGGCCGGACTATATTTTTTTTTGGGGGGGGAGAACGAATTTCTATTCCCCACAAATAACCCAGAGATGCATTTTAAATAAAAGCACTCATTCTACTCATGTAAAAACACCAGGCAGGCCCCACAAATAACCCAGAGATGCATTTTAAATAAAAGGACACATTCTACTCATGTAAAAGCATGCTGATTCCCGAACCATCCACAGGCCGAACTGAGAAGGCAATTGGGCCAGATCCGGGCCCCGGGCCTTGATTTGCCTTCCCGTGGTTTTGACCTTACCTCCGTAAAAAATCACTGTGTTGTGTAGAAGCAACTGAGCGTCTGCTTTGAACTCTTCGTAGCTCCTGTACTTTCCTTCGTTTACTTTCTAAATAGATTGAAACAGTCATAAAAGCATGCATTTGAGCTGGCAACCAATCACATCCAGGCAAACACAGGCCAATGGCTTCTATATTACACATTTCGTGGGAGTAAAAAAAAGAAAAGAAAAAAAAGAAAGCGGAACTGTACACAACCCAGAGAACAGATTTTGTAAACTTAAGGTCCCAGCTTCAATCCTTAGCATTTTTGATTGACAGACACCCCGTGACACATTTGGAACAGGCCCTTCTGTGTGGCACAATGCTTAGCTGACTATTCAACCTCTTGTGTCATTAAGCTTATCAAGGCACAGGGCGGGGAAGCAGCAGCAAGTTTGGTGGGGCACAAATGTGCAAGCTAATCTGGCACTTTCATCAGTATATCTGCACCACACTGACCTTGCCATCACCTCACCCAGCCTCTCCTGGTAAACCACAGTGATGCCACCAGAAAACGCTGCCACCCAGCCCCATGGACTGCTATTGGCTTAATAAACATGTAAGTGCTACATCTAGTCAGGGTTTATTGGCACATGGTTTACCCAACATGGAGCATGTTGACCTCCTGGAGTGGGATTGATAGAGGAAGGCGTTTGAGGGCTGCCAACATTAACATGCACACACACACACACACACACACACACACAAATCTATCCCTGTTCCACTGCCGTTCATCGTCTTTTGAAAAGGCACACACACAAAAGAACAATTCCAATTACTACAAGGAAAAACCGGGGGCAGATCTACTGGAAAACTAACAAACCTTAAGCTTCAGGACCCAGGAAGCAAATTTTAATCTACACTGCTTAATTTTTGGGGGTCTAGCAGACCCAATTTGAGTCACACGACTCAAATCAGTTGATTTTCTGCTGTGCGTATTTCAACCGTCTCAAAGTTTGAGAGTCCGTCATCGTGATCTGCCGTGGACCAACTCCACCGAAGAAGATGACAGCAGTTACCAGACCTCATTGCTGGTTGTGAACAGTTGAAACTTCGGGGCCCCCCAGAATGTAGGTCCGCCACTGGAGAACATACCTCTTGTATAGTTGGAACATCAACGGCTGTGTGCACCAGCCTACGGTACATTGGGTGTTTGTTGTCCTTGCCTTTCTTGTTTAGATCAATAGCCTAAAAAAAGCATCACAGTAAATCAGTTCAGTAGCTAGTTAGTGCTGTAACAGAAAAGCACTGACATTATTCAAATGTACTCAGATGGAGGCCCCAAAGCGTGTCTGTCTGACTAGTGGATGCGCATGGACAATGTTAAATTTTCTGAACTTGCTAATTCAAAAATTCCAGAGGTCACCTTGCAAAAAGCAACCCTTGTTAAAACAGCCATGCTATAATTATGGGGCAAAACCCACAGCATTTTTCTCTCCATCTGGAACTTTTAAACAGTGATTCCTTCCCAAAATAGATGTATTAAGCTTCAAACAAATTGGGGTGGCGATTTCCAAGTAAATTCTGCTAACTTGAATTTGCATGCAAAAAAAAAAAAAGTTTATTATTTATTGCATTTATATCCCACCTTCTTCTCTCCCCCCCCCCAGCAAAAGGTGGCATACATAGTTCTCCCCCTCCTCATTTAACAACCCTGCGAAGGAGGCTGGGCTGAGAGGCAGTGACTGGCCCAAGGTCACCCAGTGAGCTTCATGGCCGAGCAGGGATTTGAACCCTGATCTCCTAACATTTCAAGTTGGAAACTGAGCTCACATTTGATTTCCAAAGCTAAATGTGCAAATACGCAAAAGTCAAAACCACACTTTCTGTCAAGGTTTATGTCAGGTCAGCAGGTGTGCCAACTCTAGAGGGGTGAGGTGTCTTCGGCCCCCTCAATGTTGAGCGGGTCCGGCGCACGTGTGTGATGCCACACACAATGCGCACTGAGCGCCGCAGCTTCAGTGGCCGGCTCCTCCAGAGAGCTCAGCCTCCTCTGAACAACACGCAAGCCAAGTTCCCTCAGTCTTGGGGACAACCTGGCACCTTGGCAGGTCAGCAAGAATAGGGCCCTACAGGAAGTGAAAGGACACCCAAACCATGCTTCCAGAAGAGCGTGGCCGCTGCAGCCAAGCTCCATGTGGCTTCTCAGATGACCTGATGGGAAACCAGAACAGGAGTGGAACTGTGCAGTGACAATATGCTTGTGAAACCTTGGAACATGTTCTGCCATGGTACATAGGGCATTAGCAGCGGGCCCTGGCTAGAAGAAGAAGCGGAGAGGAACAACGGAGGAAGCTGGCATGAAGAAGGCTATTGAGGAGAGAAGCAGACAAACCAGTGGAGAGATTACAGGGGAGAGGGACTGTGCTGCTGCAGTGCTGCCTAAAGAGGAAGGAAGGACAGAGAGGAGGAGGGGAAGGAAGGAAGAAGAAGAAGAAGAGTTTGGATTTGATATCCCGCTTTATCACTACCCAACCGAGTCTCAAAGCCACTAACATTCTCCTTTCCCTTCCTCCCCCACAACAAACACTCTGTGAGGTGAGTGGGGCTGAGAGACTTCAGTGAAGTGTGACTAGACCAAGATCACCCAGCAGCTGCATGTGGAGGAGCGGAGACGCGAACCCGGTTCCCCAGATTACGAGTCCATTGCTCTTAACCACTACACCACACTGGAGCCTGGGGCTGCTCATCCCTGTGGTGAGCCAGGGAGGAGGGAATGCGATAGGACACAGGAAAGCTGCACCTATTGCAGACAGGGGTCCTGTAATGCCAGGGAGCTCTCCAGCTCTCTGAGTAAGAGCCGCACCAAGTTCTCTCTGAAAGGAAGAGATCATCTGGGAGCCTGAGGGCCTGATGCACCTTCACAAGGCTATCTCACGGATTGAAGTCATGGCCATTTGTTACACAGACACGTGTTATCCAGCGTCACCCAGCTGTTAACAAGAAAATGCTGTTGTCTGCCAAGAGGTGCTCAAGCTTCTCTGGGCCACGGTATTCTCCCAAATACAATATAATTGATGGAACAAGTCCATTCCGAAGCTAATCCACACGGAGTTGTCTGGTTGCAACCTGAAGATTTCCTTGGCATGAATTCAAGCATGAGGTCACGGCCCTGTGGAAACCTGTTTTTTGTGCAATCTTTTGCCCGCCATCCTCTTGCAGAGGGCGGGGAGATCAAAAGCAGCTGGAGAGGTGAGGGAGAAGGGTGTAGAGTGGGGGGGGGAAGGTGAGAGAGGCCACCACTGCCTTGTCTTCTGCTCTGGAAATGAATTGAAAGGTACAGGAAGAAACACTAGAATCTGGGGCTTAGCCATAAAGAGCAATTGCACCATCAAGAGCATCATGTTTCAACACTCACTCGTTCCTTCATCCGGGAGACGATGAAGCGCAAATAGGTGCTCATCTCTTGCTTGCTTGTGTTCTTCTTCTTAATGCTCTGGTAACAAACAAACAAAAGGGAAAAGAAGGAGTCTTATTAAAGAATTCAGACTTTTAGCAAGTCTCTTAAAATCTTACAAGGCAAAACACGTTTAAAGATCCAATGGCAAAACGCCGAGCGGCAGGTTAGCTCAAGCAAGCTAGATTAATCTTCACTTGCAGATTGTGATTAGGCGAGAATCTGCACGGAGTGACCCTGATGCTGGTTTAGAAGGCACTGCACATTCTGTCCGTCCCTCCTCTAATTTCTTAAAACCAGAAAGCGAAGAAAGACTCTCTAGGCGGCTTGTCGTGGTTTTTTTAATTGTGAGGTATCTAATGGCCGCTGTGAAATGATGCAATAACCATCCTAGGCTGTTATCCCATGCCTAAGCACACTTAACTTGCCCCAAAGTTTGCTGGGTCGATGCATTTGCTGAAACCTACAGGATTTATGTCTATGTTAACTTGCTTAGGACTGGCATTTTACTGTGCAAACGGCTTAATACAATTACTTTAATTGCCCTTATAAGCATCCCTCCCTGTGAGGTTAAACTGCTAATTCTAGTTTTACAGTTAAGGAAGAGAAACTAGGATAATGTCTCTCTTGATTTCATCTTTATAGAGTCTAAGACGGAACTGATATTTAAACCAAGGTCTCTCGTGTTCTGCTCCAGCACTCTATGTGCTATGCTACGCTGGTGAGAATCCCCAATGGCATCTAGATACCTGATTAGGGGAATCTGGGGAGGGAGTGGGATGACCCTGGGTAACATATGCAAAGGCGTATGTTTGCCTCGACATGGCATTAGCCTTGACTGAAAACTACAGACTAGAGAGGAAGGCATCTCAACAGGGAACAGTAAGTCCACATCAACGCCAAAGGAGGCTGGGAAGAAAGAGAAAGAGAAAAGAGGACACCTAATAGAGTCTCAACATCAACCAGTAGGTCAACCATGGTACTGTAATGAGCCGCCAAGTGGGAAGTGGGAGAATAGCCTTGTATATATTTTGTTGGAGGGATCAGAAAAGTCTTAAGGGTCAACTTGACCCTGGTTCTCTACTTGAACTAATAGCTTCAAGTTACAAGAAAGGAGATTGCGACTGAACATCAACTTTCTGACAGCAGGAGCAGTTCAACAGTGGAACAGACTCTCTTTCTGGATGTTGTGGACTCTGCTTCCTTGGGGGTTTTCAAGCAGAGATTGGATGGCCACCTGTCATGGATGCTTTAGTTGAGATTCCAGCATCGCAGGGGGTTGGACTAGATGATCGTCAGGAATCCCTTCCAACTCTATGATCCTATTCCTGTCAATTGGGGGAGCAAAAAGCTGCTGGATGAAAAACACTTTTGTTTGTTTGTTTAAGTCATGGGGTTACAAGTCATAACCTCTGTGGATATGAACCCAAGCTCCATGTGTCTGGTAGAGAAAAATGCTGAGTTTATGTATGAGGAGTGGCTCAAAAGCTTATGCCATTTTAAAGGCGAGACTAGGAAAACCTGCATGGACAGGGATCCTTGCTGTGTCACAAATGTCAACTGTCCTATTTAGTGGGGGGAAATGTCACCACTTTGAAAAACTTATAGTAGCATTTTTGGTCCCCCCCCCCTTCCGTCTCTTGTGGTTCAGCTGCCATGGAACCTAATCCAGATTGCGAAACTGAAAAGTCGCTCCTTCCTTTTACAGAAGATCAGAGCTTCACAACCACTCTTGTACAATAATATCAAACCAGAGGGTTGTGCCAGAAGGGTGCTCTGAAAGCCAAACAGCTTTATTGTAAATTCTTAGTGGGACTTTCTTAACCACAATTTCCTATTGTCAGTTTCTAATGAATGCAAACTGTTTGGTATATTGGCTGCATTCCTTAAAATCATTATTCTTGAAAAGTTCCACTGAAGCCAACATGGCTATCCAGATTCAATGTGCTGCTATACCTGGCAACTGAGTAATTTTGGTCTTATTGCATAAGTGAAACTTGCAATGCACAACACAAGGTCACCTATTTAGTACCTGTCTCAAACATTTAAAGCACAATTTGCTAACTATTCAATTTTCCCATCATAGATTGAGTTCTGGGCTAGCTGTTACGCAGGACGAAATAAAAATGGTGGATTGTTTATAATGTATTTTATACAGGAGGGGGGAACCACCCAAAAAGTGACAACACACACACACACACACACACACCACACAAAAAAGAAAAGAAAAAGGTTACTCCTTCAAGTTATTTCTGTGTTTCCTTTTTGTAGGAGTGCACTTTAAAAAAAAAACTTTCCTGCAAACAAATGTGTTTATTGCTTTCAGAACTGTAATAAATAGAAAAATTGAAATAATACACTGGAAAGCCTTTTCAAAGTTTTATTTTGTGGTGGGGTGCTAATATACTCCTGCAGAAAAGCAACCTTTATTTAATTTTTAAACACCTTTATTTAATTTTTAAACACCTGAGGGCACAAATTCTGGAACCAAAGTACTGTGGGTTCCAAGATGATCAGAGTTTTGGTAATTCAGAACCCTAAAACCCTATATTCTGTAAGCATCCCTACATAAACCACAATACTTCCTGAGAAAAATCTTGGTATTTTCTTTCAAACTGCATTAAGGGACGCAAAAGAATTGAGGTACTTTTGCGGGGTGACAAGCAATACTCTTTTGAGTCTCCCTGCTCCTGTTCTCTAAGCAAAAACAGTCAGTGTAGCTGAAAATAAGTATGTTAGTTCAGGTTATCCCATTGGCATTAAGAATAGCATGGTTTATCAAACTAAAAATTGATCCTGCAATAGTACCTCTTGATCTGTTTCAAATATTATGGAGCAGTACTAGGGAAAGGAAGCACGGGGCATTTATGCTTCCTGTCCCTATCTCTGAATGTCCAAATTCATTCTCAAACACTACAGCGAAAAAGTGACCAAGGAAGACAGCCAAATTTGGATTTAAGAGCCAGTTAGGAGGAGGCAGACCACTTCTTGAGAAATATCTACACAGCTAGCATGCTTGGAAAAACCAAACTGTTTTAGAGTAGGGTTCGTTTACTATAAAGCCACTGGCATGCTGCCCCTGGCATAAACAGAATTGCCTGTGAATGCTCTGGGACTGTCTCCTGTGGGCTAGGGCATCAGTGACCCTATACAGTATGCTTAATCTGCACATGTGCTGTATATATTTTTCAAAGACCAAAGCCAACAGCATTTTTCAGACATACATTGAATTATTCAAAGTCTGTCAAATGAATTCTTCAGCTCTACTATCTAAAAAAGGCTGTAACACGAATAAACACTTCTCACGGCCCTTAATGATTCAACAATCTGGCTTAAATGTGTCCAGGAAGGGACTCGTCTAGAAATATGGGAGGGGAAACCCAAATGCCAAACTGTTTTTAAGATTAGCCAGCAGCGATCTGCACACCAGGTTCAACAGTCCCAACGTTTTTATAAAGGACAGTATTCAGACAGGTCTTGCTATCAGTTTTAGCTTCTGCTGCCATGTCAGCACAGGAAAGCCCTGTCCATACCGCCAATTAAATATTTTCAGTACTGACTTTTGACAATTCCACATTCATGGTGAATGAGAGACAATATCTGTGTGCTGGAGCGTGTTGTAATTGATTCAGCGTCAAGCATTCCAGAAACTGCTCCACATATTGGCCCAGTTCACACATGACACTAAGCCAAATCATGGCTTAGCGTGAACGAGCAAATGGACAGGTTCCGAAAAAGAATATGGCAGCTGCTTTGCTCCTTTCTCCAGTCCATAAACAAATATTGGCTTCAGCTCATGGTCTGTCTGGAGCGAGATAATCCACGAGATGTTAACACTAAAGGAACCATGATTTAGTTTCCAGTAGCACAGCAGCAGAAGAACAGAGTGCCTGTGATCTCCTCTCCAAGAACCTGCACATTTGTTTGTTTATTTTGTCAAGGAATACCATACTGTAAAGAAGTTTTTAAAAAATAATGATGATGATAATCTGTTACTAGCCTTTATGAGCCTATTATTTTCAGACTTTCACTCAACCACTACATTTTAAAAAATGGATAAGTTTTAAAATATGAACTCAAGAATGGCAGTTGCTTGATGTGCTTCTAAACATGTCTGGACTTTTACAATTCCTGAATGGGAGAATGCCTGGGTAGCTCATGTATGCTGTTAACAAATACAAACATTACCCTGAAAAAACTTGTTGAATCTCAATTCACAAAGGGACTGGAAAATAAAATGGTTTTCAAAGCACATATGCTCTTTACTGTCCCTGTAGAATGTGGTAATCTTATTTGGCTTTTGACTATAATATATATATATAACCGCAAGCATAGAGGAAGGGAGGCAAGTAGTTCACATCTATGCTTACTTTAAGTTGCATTAGGGTATTGCATGTATGCCATTTGATGAACAGCTATTATTAAAAGGACAACACAGCCTGGGTCATATTAATATAAACTGAGGGTTTGGGATTTAAAGACACCTTCTTAGGGAAAGCACAGGTGGGGGAGAACTAAGCTCTCTAAAATATGCATTGAATCCCCCCCCCCTGTTTTCCAAGGAGTAACTGGCGACCCAGTTATGATGCAAAGGTCTGCTCTACTGCCATCATCACTTTAAACAGTCTTTTTTCACCAAGGAAGTTGGGGGACGAGGTGCAACAGAAGGAGCCAAGCCAACTGATACTACCCATTGCCTATTTCCTGGTGCCCAAGTGAACCACCTGTTTCTTAGCTCAAGAATGAAGTCTTGAGTGGTGTGCATGCATTACAGCGTGGGTGCGTACGTTGGATCCAGCAGGGGGTCCATGTTGGCCCACACAGCTATTTTTCCCAAACCATGCCAACCTGCCCAACAGGTGATGTCACTGTGATGTTAACATATGAGAGTGCTGGATGTGAAATAGTTAAACAGGTTACCCAATCAGAGCCCGGGGGTGGAGTCAGAGGGACTATAAAACCAGCTCTGGGAGGGACGAAGGGGGGAAGTTCGTTGGGAGTTGGGTGGTTGGTTGGAGTGGGAGTGAATTGGGATAGAGTCTGTGGGTAGGTTGAGTTAGTGTAGCAAAATAAGCTGAGTCAGGAACAGTTAGGGGCCAGGAAGACAAGTAAATATATATAGGTCTGGATAGGCACCCCATGATTGTAATGGACCGATACCATTTATGAAACCACACGCTCGTTAAACTGCAATAAACAAACAGAAGTTTATGTTCCAATTTAAGCCTGACTGGACTCAGTATTGTACCAGGTAGGGCCTGGGTGGTGGCAGCAAGAAATAAAGTGGTGGCACAGGGATCAATAGACGGTGAAACATCCGGGGACCCTGTGTGATCGCCACAGTCACTGAGGGTTGGGGGTTAGGTTCTGTTGGGGTCTGAATGTGCTGGTACACCCCACACCATCACCTCCATGGGCCACCTTTGACAGGCAGGTGGGCGGGACCATGTCAGATGACTAATAGGCAAGTGGCCCTGGTCCTCTGTCAATATTAACCCATGGGGGGTGGGGGTAAAGATCTGACCTGCTGGGCCAAAAAGGTTCCCTACCCCTGTGCATTAGAGAGAGGCAGGGGTAGAGAGACTTAAACTATGAATCTCTAGTTCAACTGCTCATAATAGTAGAAACTCAGAAGAAACGTTTGTGCAAGATGATGGGGGAAATGCAGAAAGCTGACTTGGTCATTCAGCTGCTGCTATCCCAAGTACAGCCAGCAGCCTCTGCTTCCTGCTAAGGGAGAGCAAGAATGGTGCGAAGCAGACCAAGTGTTGCTTTTTCCAAAACAAGGGCATTCGTGGCCTGACGATACTGCAGTCTGCAGGAGAATATGCACTCACCCGTAAAGTTAAGCATACCAAATGAACATGAGAGTATTTTTTAAAAAAACAACAACCACCACCCCACTTGTCTGTAATGTGAAACCTACACCTGCAAACTTCAGTGCCAATAAACCAGTGGTGGTGTTCAAATCTTTCTGCATCAGCTGTTCCTCTGCTGAGTAGCGACTGGTATTTGCCACCATTAAGTAAAGCTTTGTATAATATACTTGTTGCTTCACTACTGGTGTGCATAGTGGGACACCAACATTAAGAGATGCAGCTGGCCAGTGTTAAGGCAGAGTGCCAAGGGACTAGCAGAACAGGCTGCGTGGAGTTGTTTTGCCAAAATGGTACAGTGTTGGACACGACTAAATGACTAAACAACAACAACAACAACAACAGTGTCACAATTCTTGTCCTCTCTTGCAGGGACCTATGTGGGGTTTTCCTTTTCTTTTCTTTAAGGCTGTGTTTGTGGCCTGATGGCAACGAATTCCAGAGAACAATATACACCCCTAAAGTTATACTGAAATTGCCTGAAGATATGTAGAAAAAAAGATGGAGCCCGTAACACCCAGGAATATGTGCCCAATTTTACAACATGAATCCCCAGCGCTGAACTACAAGCTGCTGTTCCTAAAAGCAGCTTGGCTATAGCAGCAAAGCTGGAAGAAAAAAATCTGTCTTGCTGGACAGTGCTGGGCATGGCAATAAGGATGATCAGCGGCTATATGGATTAGATGTTTCTTAGGGCAGCCATTTGCAAAAAAGGGAATGGGTTACTGCACTGCTATGAATTGTGTAGAAGGTATAGCTTGGTGAAATTCTCCCTTCTAAACAACTATACAGGGGCCTTCTCCTCTCTTGACTCCAGCCACCCTACATTCACTTGAGTAAAAGCAAAAAAGTGGGCAGGTGGGACAGGAGGCAGCAGAAGAATATGGAAGTGGGGAGTTTTCTTGGGCTAAAGTGAGGCCTCTTGAAGAGATATGATCACATCATGAGCAAGGCAAGGCAGGAAGGAAGCAGGCATGACTGGAAAGCAGCAAATGGGAGGACAAGGTCAAAGGGTTGGGAGCTCTCTCTGGCAAGGAAGGAAACCAAGGAATGTAAATGAGGAATCAGGCGGAAGTAAATTCATTCCCTGTTCCTGAGGCCAAATGGGACCCATGGCTTACCCTAGCCCTCTATCAATGGACTCCAAATTACCATATTTTTCGCTCTATAAGACACACCAGACCACAAGACGCACCTAGTTTTTGGAGGAGGAAAACAAGGAAAAAAATATTCTGAATCTCAGAAGCCAGAACAGCAAGAGGGATCGCTGCTCAGTGAAAGCAGCAATCCCTCTTGCTGTTCTGGCTTCTGGGATAGCTGCGCAGCCTGCATTCACTCCATAAAATGCACACACATTTCCCCTTACTTTTTAGGAGGGAAAAAGTGAGTCTTATAGAGCAAAAAATACGGTATATTGAACTTCCATTACTTTTGCTACCAGACTCATTATTGCTTATAAACAAGAGGATACTTGCAACAATACAAGTTACAATGATCGTTTATTCACAGCCCCAGTGCTTTTCAACACATCTTCCATGTATGCATGTGTATCTATACACTATATATAGGAAAGTTAAATGGGAAAAGCAGAGGAGAAAAGCCTACCTGCCTCATCAACTGAACTGGGCAAATATGAATTTCTCATTTCCCATCTCTCCCCGCTGCCATCCCAGCCCCCAAACTATGACTTACTGGGCGGGGAGAACCAAAAGCTTAAAGACTCTGGTATTTGTATTTGAGTGATTTAAAGAAAAATACTAAAACAAAGATTTGGACTGAAAAGACCCTTGCATTATAGAAATTCTAGGGAACCTAAAATATTAGCTCAAACTATAATGTCTAAATAAAAACTGCAGTGGCTCTCAACCCACAGTTTTATGTAGCATTTATAAACATCAGTAAAGTTCAAAAGAAATATATATATATATGCATTTTGCTGCAGCATAATGCAAACCTTCTGGAGTGGTTATGCAAATATGCACATATTCTTTTTATATTTGATCTGCATCATCTGCGTTATGAGAGAACCCCAAATCTTAACACATATCTGGATAGCTTGGGCAAATGTAGGAAGCGCCAAACATTGAGGCAAATGCAAAAGATAAAATGGCTGTGATTCAAAGTTCTGCATGTGCTCCGATGGTGTGTGTGTGTGTGTGTGTGTGTGTGTGTGTGTGTGAATCTGATCTGTGCCCACAGATTCCAAGCACCATGAACTGAATTGGAGGAAGGAGCTCTGTTACTGAAACTGACTGTGGAGCTCCCTCTGTATAGACTGGAGCTTTCCACACTTGGGACAGCTTGCCTGACCAGGACAAACGTCTGCCAAGACTGATTTGAGGATTCACTTAGGTATTTCTGGAATTCCAGCTTATGGCACATCATCATTTGCTTCAGACCAATCTAGCAAAACATTTGTTCTAATGTCTGTCTCAAGAGATGCCCATTGACAGCAGGCTTTTCTAGATTTTGCCCAGGCACATCCAAATTTGACCATATTCCGGATTTGCACTTAACATATGCATTGTTTAGGCAGGGATGGCGGAGCCTGTGACCTTCTGGGTGTTAGTAGACTACAGCTCCCATCATCCCAGATTACTGACCATGGTGGCTGGGTCTGTTGAAAGTTAAGGGTCCCAGTTAAAAAGTCCAGAGAGCTACAGGTTCGCCATCCCTGCAGTAGGCAAAACTGGGTGTTTTCTCCTGGCCAGAAACATCTTCTTGAAACTAGAAATAACAAATACCAAGTCTCTATTCAGCACATGAAAGCTCAGATGTACTCACCCTGCAAACTGGGCATTGCCAGTGACTACTGCTGTCTCTAAGCCTGAACTCATCAGATAAACACTTGGAATGATATACACGAAAACACAGGTCACATATCAACACCTCTCCGGGCAAATGGCATTCAAAACAATACCAGTCATGAGTTTCTGTCTCCCAGTCCTACAAAAAATACAAAATAATTTGATAGAACATTCTGTCAGTATCTGAAACAGCCATGAGCAAAGCACATTTCTTGAAGTCTAGTAACAGTTAGGCATTATAAATATTTTTTTTTTAATTACCATACCTCTTTAATGGTTTATTCAATTCTTTTTTAAACTTGAAACCCTAATTTCCCCCCCCCAAATGTTTGGATGACTGGACACTAAGGTTTTAACCTCCAAGAAAGGCTTGTTATGAGAGTGTCTGGTTAGCAACACAAACACAACATATATGCAATGTCCCCAGCTATACAGAAAAACTGCCCTGCTAAAAGAAATTAATAGTGCAAGCTTGAATAATGCAAGCTTCATAAAATCCCTACACGACCTCTATCTTCTTGAAGAAAGGTGATGAGAGTACTCTCTCGGCATTAGGCCGCTAAGACCATGATTTTATACCGGTGTGCTATATGCTTGAAAGCGTGGACTGGAATCCATCTCCAGCTGTTTGGGACGTTGAGGAATTGAGGGAACTCCTTTCAAGCAGAGTTCAGAAGATAATTTGCCTTACCTGAATTCTTGGAAAGGAAAAAAGGAACAGGAGTTGCTATTGCAACCCCACGCCAATCTGTCTAAGCAGCTATGACTTCCTTTTGAAAGCATCAAATGATTCTATATAGCTTACCTCTCCTGACTAGGCAAAAGAAGCTACTGTTTTCAAAAGGCCGATACTGTCCTGTGTGACTGAGCTGAACACAGGTGGACACCCTCCTCTCCTCAAAATCCCATGCAGCTGGAAGAGGACTTTCTTCCACCTAAGTATGAACCAAGCCTGAGAAAGCTCAAACTCAACTGAAATGTGAAGTACACATAATTGCCAAATCTAGATCTTTTACTGGAGGTTAGTGCTATATGGATTGAACCATCTCCCTCCTTCTTCCAAATTCTGCCGCCTTGTAGTTTGTTGTTGCTCTGATTGGGTTCATTGGAAAGGTTGCAGTTTATAAATTCTCATTTCCTTCACTGAAATTGGCTTTTTAAAAAATCGAAATAGGCCTTCAGGATAAAACAGAAAGATCTGTTGAAGTTGACCTATTCTGGGTCAAAGCAGAGGTCCATGTAAGAGCTCAGCATTCCTGGTGCAAGTTCAACTAAAATCCACAAATGGGACAAAGTTTGAAATTTATGAGAACCTACAAGCAGAGCATAACAAAACAAGCGTCTTTTTAAACTTTAGAATATGGCAATATTAAGCAGCTTCTCTTTTTCTTTTAACATACCTTTTGCAATGTGATTTCAATCAATCCAAATATTGGAAAGTTTGACCTAATTTTGTTCTTGGTCCTTCAAACGTTTTCAACTGTTTAAATGAAGCCTATAAATAGGATTTCTCAATACAATTCAGATAAAAAAGTAACAGCTGTCTCTCATCTCTCCACTTCTATTTTCCAACTCTGAATGAGCCACAATCCAGCCAAAGCTAAGTCCTTTTTAAACCCCATTGATGTTAGTGGGAAGGAATTAAGCAACCAATGGGTAAAACGTGTTCAAATGCTCTTCAATACCTTCTTTAAATAAAAAAAAAACAGAACCTGAACTCAATATAATAAATAAGTGTACATGATTTCCGTTCAAGTTGAACTCCTAGCCATTCGCACTGCGAGGGAAAACAAAAACAAAAATCCCTCAGCGCAGCACAATCAGCTATCCTGGATTGTGACCAATGCCTTTATTCTACAAATAACAAAGAAATAAATATTCTAGTGGCAATTTCCAACTGTTTTCCCTGATAGGGGCAACTCCACTGCAGGAACAACTGAAGCTGTCGTCTGAGACGACAAGATTATTGGGGGTGTCAGCGAAGCCTCAGAACCAAGTTTTGCGCCAGACATGCTGGGCTTGTTCACACATCCCTTTAAACCATCCTTTAAAATAAGCAATCGTTCAATATGAAAGAGTGTTTTGCTGCTCCTCTGCTCCTGCCGCACCAGGGAGGAAAAAAACCAGAGGCTGGATTCATGTTATGTGCGAATCGGTGCTTATTGTATGTTCCCACAAGCAAATCACAATTAGGAAACCAAGGCTGGAGGAGCAACTCAGAAATGTTTGAGCAGACATGCTGCTCAGTTGCCTTAAGGCATGATTCAGAATAAACTTTAATGTGGTTTAATGGGACATGTGAACCAGAGCACCGCAAGAGGCCCTCGTGTGTGTGACTCAGATCTTGCAACACCTAGGGTGGTGAAATCTGAGCTCATTTTTCTTCCTAATGTATTATGAATTAAGATAGGATGACCGTGTGAATAAAGAACAGGGCTGCTGCGCCTTTAACAGCTGCATGACAGTATATATCTGCTAAAATTCATGCTTCTAAACAACTATTAAAGGTATGACCCTACCTGCCCGCAGACTGTCTCACCAGGGTGCTACATGCCCTGGTTATCTCCTGCTTGGACTACTGCAACACACTATATGTGGGGCTACCTATGAAGGTGACTAGGAAACTACAGAATGCGGCAGCTAGGCTGGTGACTGGGAGCAGCCGCTGGGACCATATAACACCGATCCTAAAGGACCTTCACGGGCTCCCATTACGTTTCCGAGCACAATTCAAAGTGTTGGTGCTGACTTTCGAAGCCCTAAATGCCCTTGGCCCAGTATACTTGAAAGAGTGTCTCCACCAACATCGTTCAGCCCGGACACTGAGGTCCTCCTCCGAGGGTCTTCTGGTGGTTCCCTCACTGCGAGAAATGAAGTTACAGGGAACCAGGCAGAGGGCCTTCTCAGTAGTGGCGCCCTCCCATCAGATGTCAAGGAGATAAAGAACTACACAACTTTTAGAAGACATCTGTAGGCAGCCCTGTATCAGGAAGTTTTTTTAATGCTTGGTGTTTTACTATGTTTTTATATGTAGTGTAAGCCGCCTAGAGTGGCTGGGGAAGTTCAGTCAGATGGACAGGGTATAAATAATAATAATAATAATAAATTATTAGTACAGGAGACTTGTCCTCTTTTTCATCTGGTCTCCCTAAATTTTAACTTTAACTGTATAATGTTCTGTTCTGTGAAAAAAGGAAATATCTCATTCCTTCATTTGTTATTTCATTCTGTGAATATGAAGTGTTTCTCATCAGCCTTTGAAGCTGATGTGTCTCCATCAAGTTTAGGAAACAGTCTCATCCTCCGAGCCCATTAGCAATCTCTCTAGACATATTACATATTATAAGAAGCCTGTCTCAGCTGGAGAATTTTCACTGGCACTGACTCCTGTCAAATTCAGGGAGTATCAGTTCTTTTACTGCCTTAAATATATTGGCCATAATCTATCAGAATCCAGAATAACTGCATTGTGCATGGATGGAGCACACCTGGGTGCTCCTGCCTGCATAGGGCTTTAACATGACCAAAGTAGAAAATTAAGAAAATTCCACAGAAACCCAGATGTTTTGGGCCTGGAAAAGTCAGAGTAGGACCCTTGAAATCACTGGCATTACATTAGTTTTGCTAACTTAAGTCCTTCAATTTCAATGGGTTTACTCAGAGTATGACTTAGTTGGGTGCAGCCCATTGATTAGATGTGTTCTATTACCCTAACAACATATTCGGATCGGATGAGCATATGTGGGGCTTTCACTCATATGAAGGTATGATTTGTGAGAGCAGCCCATGCGATTTGCACAATCACAGCAATTTTCTGCTTTAGAAAAACAAAACAAAACACCAATCCTCTTAACTTTTCTTTAGACTCACTATCAACTACAATATTAAAAACAGAAAGACACGTGCAATGTATTCTACACCAGTAGCATAAAATAAAGGTGTTGACTTTCACTTTCTGTTGCCTTTTCGTATTATAAGCTCCTCCCTAGAACTATACTAGAGCTATACTCATAGCACTGATCAAAATGCTTCAGAAAGAAAACACCTGATTCTTACATTTGATATATGATTTACCAAAGACTAAAGGTAAAGGTACCCCTGCCCATACGGGCCAGTCTTGACAGACTCCAGGGTTGTGCGCTCATCTCACTCAAGAGGCCGGGGGCCAGCGTTGTCCGGAGACACTTGGCCAGCGTGACAAAGCTGCATCTGGCGAGCCAGCGCAGCACACGGAAACGCCGTTTACCTTCCCGCAAGTAAGCAGAACCTATTTATCTACTTGCACCCGGGGGTGCTTTCGAACTGCTAGGTTGGCAGGCGCTGGGACCGAACAACGGGAGCGCACCCCGCTGCGGGGATTCGAACCGCCGACCTTTCAATCGGCAAGCCCTAGGCGCTGAGGCTTTTACCCAAAACGCCACCCGCGTCCCCTTACCAAAGACTAAAGGGATGTTAATCTTAATGAGCTTTCTCACACTGGATTCCCCTTCCTCTTCTTTGAACAGGTTTGCCCAATGCTCATCAGAAATAAAGACCCAATTTAAGAAGAAAATGTTTTGGCACAATCCACCACTGGGAAGTCTTTCTTCAAGGGTCATAAAAAGAACTTAACTGGATCAGGTCGAAGGTCCATCTAGACTCACGGACACCCAGTTGCCTATGGGAAGCCTGCAAGCAGCCCCTGAGTGCAATGTTACTCTCCTCACTTGTGACTACGAGCAGCTGGTATTCAGAGACGTATTGCCTCTGAGACGCATTGCCTCTGACAGTGAAGGTAAAGTGTAGCCATCATGGCTAGCAGCCACTGATAGCCTTAACCTCCCATTTAAATGAAAGAACGCTGTACAATAGCACTACTAGGGCTTGTTCAACTCACATGGATTTCAATAGGGCTTGTGCAAAGGACACTCTGGATTGGGCCCTTACTATTAATCGGCTAACAAAAACAAAACTAAAGAGGCGATAAAATTTGAGATTTCCAAATCGCTAACGCAAAGTTCATATAGTACTAGTAACTAACTCGAGCACAGAATGCCTTATTGCTGTGTTGCACCTAAGGGCTTTTTCACATAGCTTCGGAGCAACTTGGGATCCAGGTGACCCAGGTCACAATCCTGTGTCCTGGTATAAAATCCCCTAGTATAAAATCCTTGGTCGAAAGGAGATTGTTCTGCTTAGTTGTCTGACATACTAGGCTTGAACCATCTTTATAACATCCACCACCCAACATAGCAGAAGTGCATTATGTTGCAACACAGGTACAGAGCCTTAAAATGACAGGTGGTTGTTCATTTGTTTTTTACCACATGCTTGAGTAGCATTAAATAAATATAAACTGAAGGATATCCCAAGTGTGTCCTTCATAATGGCATTACCAAGTCAAGGACAAAAGCTCAATTCAGATGTCATGTTAAACCATGGTTTAGTGTGACGACGACAAACTGCAATGAGCCTCAGATCATATCCTCCCCTCTTCTCACGGAGTACAACCGCAATAAGGTGTTCCGAACCTTTGCTTCCGTTTTCACTTAACCACAGTTTGTTGTGTCATCCAAACTGACACACTGTGGTTAACATTAACTAAGGTTTGCAAGAAACAAACCGACTTCATATACTGTTTTGTCTGTTTGGATGGCAACATGTGTTTAAGCAAAAACAGAAGCAAAAAAGGTCTCCAAACTCCTCCTTGCAGCTGTGCTGGATGACAGGAAGGGAAGGGGCACAAGTATAACGTTCACCTGCAGCTTGTTCTCACCCTTGTGCCAAACCATGGTTTAGGGCGACATTCAGATACATTGAATAATTACACAGGTTGAAGGGGAAAAAGCATTTTCTTTAGCATTTTCATCACCAATTTTTAAAGCTTAGTTTTGGAGAAACGTTTATAGAGAGAGATATAAAATGAGAAGGAGATTCACAATAAGAGAAAAAAAATTGCATAACCATGTTGAAGAAGGTAGAAAGGGGGAGGAATATGAACTTGGGTAGGAGGCTAGTCTTTGTGCCAATGGGGTATGAGCAAGGGGTCTGCACCACTAATGTATAAAGCTCCAATTAAAAAATAACAATTAAAAATTAAAAGGCAATGGTTTTAAAATTTAAATTTAAAAAGAAATTCAGTAGTAAAATTACAGGGACAGAAGATTTTAAAATCTAAATTTAAAAAGAAATTCAGTAGTAAAATTGCAAGGACAGAAACACATCCTAATGCCAAAGGGGTAATTCTGGCAAATGTCTCTTGCTGATATCATGTGTATCCTATCACTATTTTTAAATATCAAGCTCTTTTGTTTCTAAATGCCTGCCATCTGAATATGTGTTGGAACATTTGCAGGGCCAGGGATGTAAATGGATGTTTGCCATGTGATTTCCTCGCATGAGACAGGAGGTATTTATATAACTTTAACATCTGGCCGCCAGTGTTCTAATAATGGCAGATCTAGAAAGTACGAAAGTCCTTCTCTGCACTTGCCAAGTCTGCCACCAGGTGTCATCATCTACTCCCAGAAACAACTGATAAAAGGGAAACCATTGCAACTTCACATCTTGTGGCAAAACATGTGAGTAACCACTTCCAGTTCCCCAGGAAGAAGAAGAAGAAAAATAATACTTTAAATGACAGTCCTGTGCAGGTCAATCTCAGGAACTGCATGGAACATGGATGACAGGCATTATTAATACGTATTTGCAGAAGCAACAATTCTAGACTATCCTTAAATGCACAACAGAAATAAGAGAATATAACAAGGAAATTCAAAGACTACATAGTGCAAAAGTTGTTCACCTTGATTTTTGCTGTTGTCCGGGAGAAAGGCTGCATACTGTAGGCCTTTCGAAATAAAAAACAAAACAAAACAAAAACACATGGTCTCTGTGCTGGAACCCATCTGAGGTACATAGGACTAAAACGAATTGAAACATGGATATGGGGAAAGCACACTGTTACAGATAGCATCCTGACTATACAATTACCCCCCCCTAAAGCAAACTATATGGACTGCTTTATCTACACCCATTTACCCCTCTTCCCTTTTTGGCCACCTGAAAGCTTTCCCAAGCAGTTAAAATTAATTAGGAAAACACACACTCAAAGCAAGGACAGAGCCAAAATGGTCCAATCGCTGGCACTGTTCGGAATTAGCAGAGGGACTGACGTGCTCACTGAATAACCCCTGGGAAGAAGTAAATGCTTGTATCATGTGACATACAGCATTGGTGGTCAACCCCCCTTTGGAATATCCAGGAAGCGCTTCGATGTTAATGCTTTATCAGATACTCGTCTCCACATTTCATAAATTTTAAAAATGCAAGTTAAAAATAAAATAAAATAAGCAGGGGACAATAGCACCTTGGGAGTGACTGTTGAAAGTAATCAGAAAACCTGGTACAAATTTGTAAGAGTAATATCCTTACGTGTAGAAGGGGAGGCTGGTGGGGCCAGTGTACGAGCTAGCAGACAATGGGGAACATGATCAAAAAGCTGACTGATAAAACATTGCCATTGCAGGGAGAAGTAGGGTTGTTTTAATATAAAATTACACAGTGCAAGTGGAAAAAGAAACCTGTAGACTATAAGTGGTTCTGGGACTGCACTTTAAAAACAGGTGAAGAACTCATTGTGATACTAACCTTTTTAATTGGTAATCCAGAGTAGTTGTGCTTTTGATTTTTTAAGTGTGTGTGTATGTGCGCTTGTGCACACACACACACACACACACACACACACACACAGACACACACACACACACACACACATAGTGCAAATATAACTTTCTCACCCATGAAGCTAAACATAGCCCTCCACTAAACATAGCCATCTACTATGGCCTGGCAGGTACCTGTCAACCCTTGGTCAAAGGCCAAGAGCACAAAACAACAGGTTTACTAAACCCCAGGTGGGTTCACCATACACGGCTGGTGGGCTGCATTCACGATGTGCTGGATCACAACTCTGTATGCAATTATATAGAACCTCCCAAAGACCAAACATAAAAGTAAGGCATCCCGCTTAGGATTTCACACAGCTGGGGGGCACTGCCACTGCGGTTTGAGTGATTGACAGCAAAGCTGCAATACTCCCGAGGATGTGCACTGGGTTTTTTTGCCCGTCTGTGGATTATCCTTTAGCAACAAGTATACTTGTAGAGATCCTTTTCTCTTTATCGAAGGAAGGAAAATTTGGACGGAACTTTGGCTTTGAGACACCCTTTATTACACATGAATGCGATTTTGGCGCTGCACGCATTATGTAAAAGCTATTATTTAAAGAAACGGACACTTGGTGGAATAACAAATGTCTTATTTTTTTGCATTTGGTCTTTGGGAAGTTCTATAGAATTGCATACAGAGTTGTGAGAGCTGTGCTGGATCGCAAGACATGGAGGCCTGGAACAGAATAACTGGCAGTCAGGGTTACTTCGCATGTTACAAGAGTACGTCCTGTATATTACTCCTATTTTCTAAAGCCCCAAGGTGAGTGAGATTATACACATGTGCAGCTGGATCACAGTGTACTAAGGATCAAGGATGCAAGCAAACTTTTTTTTTTTAAATGCAGCTCATCTGCATCAGAACTCAAATGAACCAAAGGCATATCTGGTGCATTCAAAGACAATGCCTATGCCCAGTAAATATTTTGGACACATGAAAACTGAAAAACAAATGATGGAAAAATGATAACCAAGAGTCTTCATTCTTTTGTACCGAGAACAGCATTTGGTAGTGGAAGGGGGCAGTGTGATGGCAGTACCAGTAATTAAATATTTTTTAAAAAAGAGAAAATAACAGTGTTAAAGTTTCTAAATGAATGTCAGTCAGGGTATTTATTAAACAAACTGAAGCCAAAAAAAATCAGCTTCATTAATTACAGAAGATATGTAAAGTTTGCATTTATACAACACCTTTCATCTCAGCATTCCAAATTGATTTAATTAAATTAAACTTCACTATAGCAGTGTGGGTGCAAGAATAGTATTAGTGTGGAAGCTATAATGGGCGAAATCCTTTTAAATGTGGTCCATATGTACATGGGGAGAAAAAGAATCTCACACCTTCTTGGACCCCCCCCCCCTTTTTTTAATAGAAGCATACAAGACTGTACATATTCTGCAATTCCATGCGAGCACAGAAAATCCACAGAAAATGATACTTGGGTGTACATTCCAGCATTTTGAAAAGCTCAGTTCACTTTCTCCACCACCTTCTGGCTAGGAATATGGGCAATGCATGCTAAAGTCAGAGGAGAGCTCAGAAGATGTTTAAATTTTGATGGGGCAGTGTTTCAGTGCTATATAAAGCTAATGTGCCTTTGCTTGAGTAACTGCAGCATAATAATTATGCAGACTGGGGAAAGATGAGGAAATTTGATTTATTTATATATTGCCACTTCTGTATGAATTACTTTGGCAATCGGGGGGGGGGGGGATTTTGTTTTTCCTTTAGTGCAAAGTGCACACAACCCTACGTACATCATGTCTGCCACAAACTGTTTTGAATTGCTGTCTACAGCTGAACGACCCTGTCCTCTTTTCCCTAGATCAGTGTTCCCCATCCTGGTGCCCTCCAGCTGTTGTTGGACTCCACCTCCCATCAGCCAGAGCCAGCATGGCCAACGGTCAAGGATGATGGGAGATGTAGTCCAACAATCTCTGGAGATCACCACGTTGGGACAAGGTTGGCTAAATTAGCTCTTCAAAATCTGTTTTCATTTTCTAAGGCAGGGTTTCTGCTACTCTGGTATGGATATAATTCCTTAACATTTTAAATGTAGACGTAAAGGGACCCCTGACCGTTAGGTCCAGTCGTGACTGACTCTGGGGTTGCGGCGCTCATCTCGTTTTATTGGCCGAGGGAGCCGGCGTACAGCTTCCGGGTCATGTGGCCAGCATGACTAAGCCGCTTTCTGGCGAACCAGAGCAGTGCACGGAAATGCCGTTTACCTTCCCGCCGGAGCAGTACCTATTTATCTACTTGCACGTTGACGTGCTTTCGAACTGCTAGGTTGGCAGGAGCAGGGACCGAGCAATGGGAGCTCACCCCATCACGGGGATTCGAACCTCCAACCTTCTGATCGGCAAGCCCTAGGCTCAGTGGTTTAGACCACATTGCCACCAGCGTCCATTTTAAATGTAGGCTGCAATGATATACATACATTCCTGGGAGTGAGCCCCACTGAAAACAATGGAACTTATTCCCAAGTAAACATGCATTGGATCATATTATTATTAAGTGATTATCCTTGTCCATAGCTGTCAACTTTCAGATTTGTAAATAAGGGATCAGCAACCTTGAAAATAAGGGATCAGCAGCCTCACCTGTACTGGGGACAGTTTACGGGATATCTAACAATTCGGGATAGCAGTGGGAAGCAGCGGGAAATGGCGCTGGAATAAGGGAATTTCCCACAAAAAAAAGGGAAGGTTGACAGCTATGGCCTTGTCGCATGAGGTTACCGGCATTCTACTATTCTTCAAGGAACTGGTTTGTAAATGCCTTCATTCAGCATTGTAACCTTATTTCTGAGTCCATAATTTACCTAAAAATTAGCCATTTAGAATTAACTTTTCAACAGCCAATCTTTTCCCAGTGTCCTGGCATACTGACTGATACTGTACAATTAAATGTAAATTAAGTTTTAAATAAGCATATATTTTAGAAAGTTCTGATTGAGTCAGGCTATACTGTTGCATTATTCCAAGTGATTTGTAATAATTTTTCATCTAATTTTTCACTGAATGTAACAACTCATCATAGATAAAAGCACCCAACTTTTATGACCCAAATGCCATAAATCTGATAGGGAAGGGAGCTTGGGGTTGGTCTCTGTGGTGATTCACAAGCCAAACTGGGGGGCCACTCACCCAACCAGAGGTACTGGTCTCTCCTAATGCTCAGGACTTTAAATGACTAAAACTGGCCACCCCATCCTACCCCTACACCCAGTGAGCCTCCTAAACTCTTGCATGGTAGCTCCTCTGACGGCATTCATCCAGGACCCTTCTGCAAAAAGAACATAAGAACAGCCATTCTTGGTCATACCCATGCCAACAGCAACCAGTATTATTAGGTGCTTCAAATATAGCCTACCAGAACAGGGCAATTAAAGAGCAAACATCTATCCCTAGACATCCTGGCGAAATTCTCCACCCTCCCCGCTTTTGGGCCATATTTTAAGACTGATACCCTATGGCCTGGATCCGTTGAACCTACACGACAAGTTCCGTGTGCTCTGGGCTTAGGCTTCCTAAAGAGCAGCTCCCCTCCTTTGAAACTGGGGGGAGCGTATTCAAAAGGAGCTTGTGACATGGTATGTTGTTGAGGGGGCGGGAATGAAGGTTAGAATTTTCAGACTGAAGAAGGTGTTTTGATCCTGGCCTACTTCCATTCCTTAAAATTAATCTATGGCTAAAGAATAGTAACATAAGATGAACCTGCTGGATCAGGCCAATGGTTCATGTAGTCTACTATCCTGTTCTCACTGTGGCCAACCAGATGCTATGGGGAGCCCAAAAGCAGAATAGCAATCTCCCCATATGCATATATGTATATACATTATCTATACACACTGGGTCTTATCCAGCGCTAGTCCTACTCAGGGTAGACCCATTGAAGTTAATGGGCATGACTAACTTAGTTACACTTATTTCAATGAGCGTACTCTGAGTAGGACTAGCATTGGCTAAAACCCATTACAGTCGTACCCCGGAAGTCAAACGCCTTGCGACTTGAACGTTTTGGCTCCCGAACGCCGCAAACCCGGAAGTGAGTGTTCCGGTTTGCAAACGTTCTTCAAAACCCAAACGTCCAACATGGCTTCTGATTGTCTGCAGGAGCTTCCTGCAGCCAATCGGAAGCCGTGCCTTGGTTTCCGAACCTTTTGGAAGTTGAACGGACCTCCGGAACGGATTCCGTTCAGCTTCCAAGGTATGACTGTATATTGTTTTTTGTAAAAAATAAAACTTCTTTCATTCACCTATGAGGCTCTCATCTGGGAAATAATTAGTTTGGTCCTAAAACAGTGGTTCCCAAACTTTCCCCCTCGTGGTCCACCTGAAAATTGCCAATGATCTGTCTTCCCAGACCACTTAATGATTTTTTTTCTGCCTGTTGTAACAATTGTAAGTTTATTTTATCGGGGTTTTTTATTGTTTGCTCATTGTATACTTTTGTATTACAATTTGAGCTCCGTGGAATTCAAATTACAATACAACTTAATAAATAAACGAAGCCATAAAAATACAATGAGAAACCAGCAGGAATTTTTAACGTGACGAATGTGCCATCTTCAATCACAAATTCTCACACAGCACTTCGCTGAAGCTTGTAGACCACTGGCAGCACACGGGCCACAGTTTGGAAACCCCTGTTCTAAAACATTCTTTGCTGGAAACCAAAACTCTTATAGCTACATGAGACTGCGGAAGGGTAATAACTTTCTATCCAGTAAGTAAAAGAAAGCAAGCTGTCCTGAGGCCCCGTGCACAAGCTGCAAGAACGCACTGCAAATAGCAAGATTGCAAGTCAACGTACCGGGAAATGGAAGGTAAAGCCTTGTGGGAAATATACTCACAATCTCATCTCCAGGCAGCCAGTATCCTTCTTGCTCAATACCAGCTTTAGATCCCTTACATCCCACTGTCAAGGTCTCAACAACTAGGCCGTCCTTCACTGCTAAACTAAGCTGGCGTGTGGTCTCTTTGGGGTGCATACCATGAACCCGAGACATATACCTGCAAAGAGAGCAGAAAACAAGTTCTTACAAAAGCATCTTACTTAATGTTTGCATCTACTTTCCGATACGGAGGTGTCTACTCAAACATCCTGAAACACGTCTTAGTTTTTTCCACCCATTATTTCTGCATTTCTTAACACTTTCATACTCCGGGTACGCTGTTATCATACATACCGAGGAAGTCCATAATTTTTAGGACTCCCTTTTTAGAAAACTCTACTACAATTAACTTAAAAAACATTTAAGCTTCCATCAGAAGTAACTATCGTTGCTGGAAACAGGCTACAGCTCCTGGAATGGTAGGATCTCTTCCTGCAAGAGAGTTTGGTCTTGCTTTTATGGGGAAGGAAAGAACTGTCACATTGCTGTGGAAAGGGAAAGGGCAGAAGTTTTCCTTTTCAACTGGCCATTACCCACCAGGGCTAAGAGAAGGCAATAATGAGATTACACCTCCTACACCCAGCACTGCATTTGAGACTGAAGATCTACAAACAAACAAAACCTGCCAATGATGTTAATTAGCGTAACAACTTTCATTCAAGCCAATGCACAATAGCACTGACAGAAAGCTGCCTAACCCTTTTAAGGTGGATGACTATTGGGAGAATGCAAAGGAAACCTCCAGCTCATCATAGGCTGGCCAGCAATTTGGGAGCATGAATGGAAAAGCATCAAAGCAGAATCCAAGCTTGCCAAATCCCTGGTAACACGTGGTAAATGTATCATGGGAACTGGCAGAAAAGAAAAATATCCGAGTCTAGTATTATTGTCAAGGGAACATATGCACAGTGGCTGTGCAGTTTTAGACAATTGGAGAGCTGCCCCTCTAAAAACAGAGGACTGGGGTGAGGGATCCTGTTGATTACTCTGATTTGCTAATTCCTCATTGCAGCCTCTTCTTACTCTAGTCTTGTATGGGTGCCTGATTAGCGACTTCCAAAGCAACTACTCTATTCCCAATTTAAGAAAGGAAAGTGAAATGTCAGCGGACAACAAAAGAGGTTTAAAGACTCTCTCACGGCAAATCTATTTTAAAAAATGCAGTATAAGCACAGATCATTGGGAAATACTGGCCTGCGAGCACTCCAGTTGGGGAATAAAAAGGTAAAGGTAAAGGTACCCCTGCCCGTACGGGCCAGTCTTGACAGACTCTAGGGTTGTGCGCCCATCTCACTCAAGAGGCCGGGGGCCAGCGCTGTCCAGAGACACTTCCGGGTCACGTGGCCAGCGTGACATTGCTGCTCTGGCGAGCCAGAGCCGCACACGGAAACGCCGTTTACCTTCCCGCTAGTAAGCGGTCCCTATTTATCTACTTGCGCCCGGGGGTGCTTTCGAACTGCTAGGTTGGCAGGCGCTGGGACCGAGCAACGGGAGCGCACCCCGCCGCGGGGATTCGAACCGCCGACCTTTCGATCGGCAAGCCCTAGGCGCTGAGGCTTTTACCCACAGCGCCACCCACGTCCCACCCAATTGGGGAATAGCCTCTACCAAAGGCATCTTGGATTTTGAAGAAGCACAAACTCCAGACAAACGGGAGAAATGAGCTAAGAGGAAAGCACATTTGGCAAAGTCTCACCGTGATCAACTACTGCCCAGAAATCTATGTCCCCACTGTGGAAGGACGTGTGGATCCAGAATTGGCCTCCACAGTCACTAAAGACACATTGTTAAGACCATACTCATGGAAGACAATTTTACTTGGCTATGCATGATCACCAAAGAAGAAGAGTCTTGGACAATTTGATTGCATGTGGAAATTAAATCAATAATATCTTCTTTTAACTGAATGGCAAGGCAATGCAAAATGAGAGAACCTGCTGCTTCTTCTTTCTTTTAAAGGGCTATCTCTCTCTTTCCACACAAGTGCACATGTGGATATCCCATGCTTTCACATAGTAAATTACACACAATGCGCAAAACCACACTGGATGTAACAGGTTGTTTTGGTGGTGATGGATACTATATGTAATAGGCTCCTGTGACAGGTACCCTAGAACAGCGTTTCCCAAACTTGGGTCTCCAGCTGTTTTGGGACTATAACTCCCATCACCCCTACTTAGTAGGACCAGTGGTCAGGGATTAGGAGAACTGTCATCCAAAAACAGCTGGAGACCCAAGTTTGGGAAGCTACTTTCTTTACAGAAGCTTCAAAAGAATTAGGTTGTCCTAATAAAAGGACTTTTCTGAATGGCTGACAATATAACAAGGGAAGTAACAAAACAAAACCAGACCAAACCAGACCAGACCAAACCTACTAGGCTTGAGTTTACCAGGGAGGAAGCAATGGAAAGCTGAAATGGAGATGAACTGAATTTGGAAATCCATGATTCCAAGTCTTAGAATTTTAGTGCATGTATTGTCATGGGTATGTATAGCCAACAAAGCAGGTATAAAAGCACTAATTTAATGTAGGTATCAATGCAATTTTTATTTTGTTTTGATTTTTTTTTTAAAAAAAAAACACACCTTACAGATGTTCTATTTCCCGCCAGAGAAACATCAGTGCAGAAGAAGAAATAATAATCCCAGAAGTATACAGACAGAATAAAATAAGATGGCAGGCAAGTGCTACTGAAGAAAGCAGAAGAAAAAACACCAGGACGGTTTTGTTTTTAGAAAAGGAAAGTAACCGTTCAGGAGGCTCTGAAGTGGTGGTGTATTTTAGCATGAGAAAACGTCCAATTGCTCTCCTGGTACTCAGATAAGAACGAAGTCAAATGGTGCTGGCTCCAACCCCCGGCCTTAAGCAACAGAGACCTGTCAGCCAATGGACTGGAGCCAGAAGGCTGTCTGCTTATGCCGACGTTCTAGAACTTTCTGCATGTCCGCCATTTTTTAGTTGCCCTCCTCTGCTGCCTCTCTCATTGAGTGATTGCAAAAAGGCCATGGAAGAGGGGGAAGCAGAAATCTTAAAGACGCTAGAGTGACAGTCCTGGATATTATGAAAGTAAAGCAAGGAGAAAACTCCTGCGCATGTTAGTTACTAACACAAGGAGTTGGCTTCTGCTGCTAATGGGGCACAAGGAACCATCTTGCACAGCAGGCAGAGATAAAGCAACCCCTGGTAGCTGTTCTCTTGAATGATCTGATTATCCTTACCTTGGAGGAAGGGAGCTGAGGCAACTTATTTGCGTTCAGCCTCTGGTCAACAGATTGGGAAGCATTTTACACTCCTTAGGCTGTTTTCCAGTCAGGCGGGAGGAGGAAAGCAAATATGTTTGCAGATGGGTAAGAGCATGGCAGAGAGACAAAGTTAATTCCCCTAAGACACCGAACCAGCCCAAACAACCCGTCTGCACTGCAACTTCTCAGGCAGGGGAAGTTAATGCTAATCTCCACTAGCTAAAATAAAGACCTGTCTGCTGAAATAAAGAGATTCTTCCTGATAATCTGCTTGTTAGATTCCTAATCTGGCCAGATGAGGCTGTCTGCCCACAGGGCACAGAAGGGAGAGAGAGAGAGAAAGAGAGAGGGAGGGGGGAAGAAACTTAGGTCACAGCTCAGTAGACTGGTATTTATAGCTCAGGCTTCTCAGGATTTACTCATCTACAAACAGAGAATACAAAACCCATCCAGATTACTACAAGGTTGCGCAGCAGGAATCCTGCGCAAGAGAACAAGCTCACCCTAAAAGCTATGATATAAACAAGCAACTCTACCTATTCCTTTTGGTTTAAATAACACCTAACGCACTCAGTTTCTTACCAATATGGGGGGGGGACCCTCAAGTTTAAAAACTCTTAAAAATGCAAACTCATTTGAATTATGAGTAATGCCAGCCTGTCAAGAAGATCTGTATAAATACGAATGCTGATGGTGCCAGCTATTGTTTTTACCATTTAAATTTCATTATGCATATGGCTATATTATTTATTGATTGTATTTTTATACAGCAGAAGACAAAAGGAATAAAACAATTGAGATGTAGGTCTCTGACACTCCCCAAAATAGTCTCATCTCGCTGAACCTCACCACAGTCCTCTTGTGGTGTCACTTTCATTCCCGTTACACAAAAAGAGGAAGCAAAGCTGAAATCCTTTTGAACATTCAGGGGGCTCTGCACTTTCAGTGAACTCGTGCAGGGCAGAAGGTATCCTTGCGGCAGGAAGATCTCACTCTCACTGCCTGAAGTTGAATCGTACACTTGGTGCGTGCAATAGGAACTTTGCAGATATGCAACATACTACACACAGAGTTGAGCTACATTCACTGAATGTACAAGGCCTCCTCACCTCATTAATATCTCTAAGAGGCTTTAGTGACTTGCTACCCAAGGGCATCAATACAGACTCACGATGGGAGCTGACACCTGAATCCACTAGTTTTCAGGTTACAGGAAAAAAATGTGGGCCCCCCAAAAAAGTTGTCTTCAAAATAACATCAAAACAAGTCCTTTCAAAATGTACACAACTGCATGAGGGCAAGGTACACACAGAGTGCTGCTCTGGAAATATACCTTTTTGCTACCATTTTGTTTGCATTGGTGGAAATTTTTGTTTATTTACTGCATTTTTTTATACAGCTCACCTTTCAGGATATGAATCCTACCAAGGCGGTTTTTACAAACAATATTCAATTACGTATTTAAAAAACTACAACTACTACAGTGGTACCTTAGGTTACATACGCTTCAGGTTACAGACTCCGCTAACCCAGAAATGGTGCTTCAGGTTAAGAACTTTGCTTCAGGATGAGAACAGAAATGGTGCTCCGGTGGCGCGGCGGCAGCAGGAGGTCCCATTAGCTAATGTGGTGCTTCAGGTTAAGAACAGTTTCAGGTTAAGAACGGACCTCCGGAACGAATTAAGTACTTAACCCGAGGTACCACTGTATATTAAATATAAAAGGCAAGCTTTCAAACTTGTACAAACAAGACTTCTCTAGCCTCGGAAGCTTGAATTCTATTTCAGCCAAAAGAAAAATGTTCTATTGTAATTCATCCGGTTTCCTCTTACACTTAAAAGACTCAAGAGACCATCCCAGTTCAGTCACCATCGT